GAGATCTTCGAGGAATTGAAATAGTGCTTCTGGAGAGCGGTGCTCCTTTTCGACCCTGAGCGTTCCTTGAAGGCAAATCCTGATTAGAAGCTTCAGGTAATGGGCTAGACCCGTCACGAGGGATAGTAGCTCCTGGGTGACGCCTAATTTCCGCCCAGTAGTCTCCTGCATTTTGGATAGTAATGAAAAGAAGGCTACAATCTTTTTACAGAGAAGCTTTGATTCTCTCGCGTAGGATAAGTCTAGAATTTTCTTTTAGCATCACTATTCAGTTATAAGCGCAGTGTTTCATACCAGTCATCTCTAATTGCTTGATAGTCTGATCAAGTCGGTCCGCGGATCGGAACAGGATGTCCACATGAACGATGAACTTTTTGGCGACAAAGACACCGTCCATGTATGCACCGTTGCTGACATGAAGAAGCATGTCCGAAATACATGCGGCCGAGGATTCTTCGAATGCTGACAAGACGCTCCAAATTCGATAAACTTTGTTCTCCATATCTTCTTCTTCCTGCCGGACAAGCTCACGGCCCTCGGGGCCCACAGGTTCGGGACGGGGCTCAGCAGGTTCTTGAGGAGCTGTTAGACGGACATTCCAAAACTTGTGGATCATATAGCACTCTGGATGCCAGTGCTGATTTTGCCCGTTACGGTATATCTCAACAAACTGCTTGAGAATAGCGGTTTGGCAGCCATTGCATCGCTGAGCAAATTGCGTTGAATAATGGTAATGGCAATACACATTCCCATCATGTTCGTAATAGCTGTCCTGGGCCCCAAAGACCGTCGAGCAGAGTGAACAAGTGAAGTGGTCAACATGGTATTTGCGATCGAGGGCGGTAATATAAGAACCGCGCAAAGCGCCGCCACATTGGTAACATAGAAGACCAAGTCGTCGAAAGTAATCTGTCTCGCAAAGTGGATATTGGCCGCCGGTTTCCTCGTCGTCCGCAGGGAAAAACTTGGAAGCCACAATCTGACCACAGTCCTGTATTTTGTCAGACACAGAATATATCACGTAGGGGTTATCAAAGCTCTTACACGACATCTAAAGCAGTCGAGATGGTACGTGCCTTCTAAGGCCCGCACAAATTGACCGGTTAAAGATTCACCACACTTGGCGCAGATACGAAGCTGCCCACTTGCTGTTCTTCCGCTCCGTCCTCGAGATCGGTTGCGCTCACCGCTCTGTCGCGGGTCTCCTTGAGCACTAAGGGACGGTGAGCCAGGCGGTAGGGCAGGCGGAGGGAAGGCTCCATTTGAAAAGGATGGACTCGGTGTCATATTTGGCCGGTCATGGTCAAGTTGGTAGCTGTTCTCGTTGGGCAGCGGCGATGGTTGCCTGTGAATCCGGTCGCCAGCCAGACCGCCTTCGTAGTCGGGGCCCATCATGGCGACCAAGATGAGGTCCTACCTCAGCCTAGCTGATTAAAATAGAAAGCAGTCGGAATGAAGTTCGGCGCTGAACTAATTTGGGAGGCAAGACGAAGCGGCGATTGTATGATTGCGGTACCGTTGTCCAACGTCAGACATTGGCATCAGACGGCGAACTTTATCGACCTCCAACAGGATGTGCGACTGGATGCGGATGCAGGAACCGGAAAACAATTATTCGGCGTAGCACAGGTGAGATACGGATTTGGCGACGAAGGAAAATATCGGGGATCCGGCCAATATCTAGTGGTGAACGAGTGTGGCAGTGAAGTTATCGTAGCTGACGGCTGGTTAAGGCAAGTAGCGGGTATTTTTTATTTTTTTTCGTCGATGCGACGTAGTCAGAACTGAATTGGGGTTTACGGTGGAAATATGACGGACACTCTGGTTGGTTGGGCGGTAGGAAAGGTTGAATTGGTTGACGATTAGGTTTGGGTGTGTTTGAAGAGAAACCTTGGTAACGGTAACGAGGGTTTTTGCTAGGCGGCGTCTACTTGTCGAGATATCGAGAAGGTCGACGGTATCGAAACATGCGTTGGCAGAGAAAACGATCGTGGAGGATACGATAGCACGGCATGAAGTATGTAACGCCGTAATCAGCTTTTCAGCGGAAAGGCAGGGAGGTGGAAGGGACTGTTCGTTGCCGGCGAGATGCAACCTTCGAAAGGCGGAGCTAGGAGCGGGAGCTGCAGCAGAAGGGGGGGAACAAGACCGGGGTTTAGTGGGAATCTAAATGCAAGACAAAGGGATAATGTTTTTCAACGCATAGGTAGCGTGAGTAGGTGAGAGAGTAAGGGTAGGTATAGATAAGGTTAGTCCGCGTATGTAAAAGTAAGATCAATTCCGATCAATCCAATCCAATAGCGAAAGGAGGTCCCTTCTGCTGTTTAGGTGGACTTCCCCGTTGTTGAGGTGCCCGAGGGGGTAGAGTCGAGTCCGAGGATAGGTAGAAGCTTAGAGGTAGGTAGGTGGAAGAATAACGACCGAAAAAGGAACAAAAAAAAACCCTCCAAATTGATAGCCCGTTCGAGGTGCGACACAACAAGACGGGTATCCAGTACGACCAGCGGTTGCTATGAGTTCTTGAAAGAAAGCTGAATAACTTGGTAAATGATGGCTCACCCCCAGTATTCTTCCTTATAATTCAGGTACCTTTAGAGGTAGGTTTAGGTGGTTAACCCAAGTAGAGCCCAGGAGACTTGACTCCTACTGGTGTAAAGATTGTAAGAAAGCTGGAGAGTTAGCAGGTCTGCAGGTCTGTCTGTAGGTCTACAAGTGCAAGTTAGGAGGCGCAGGATAATGGACCTGAATGGATCACCTGCAATCTAATTGATAGCCTTTAGCGCCTGTCTTAGCTCTTGTCATAAGCTCTCGTCCAGTCAGCCAGTGCTTCAGATACCCCACAGCCCACCAACATTTACAAGTGCGAAGTAACCCCTACAGGTATGTTAGTACCTCTACCTAACTGCTGTAACTGCCAGATGGAATCATAATAGGGTCTATCACGTGATCCAGGTCCGATCACACTATGTAGATGCACCTCCAGCTGAATTCAGTCTTCAGAACAGTATATTTCACCTAGTATAATTGCTCATCCTTAAGTTTGCTACTTAATGATCCATTAAAGAATTTTTCATTTGTCACAGGCTAGAAAGAATTGACAATATCTAATCATCGTTTAATAAACCTTGACTACCTAGTTAACCTATCTGGGTAACTTATCTAAGTCACAGAAATATGAATCGTAGTGCATAGGCCAATCAATCTTAATCCATTTTTAGTTACTCTGCTAACCTTAGGTAGGTTATTGTATCTAAGTGAGTGAGATGAGTATTCTCACCTACAAAGTAAACATCCTCTGGTTTGCTTATTAAATATACTTACGGTTCTCATCCAGTCACATCATATGAAGTAACGGTCAGACAATTCATTCAACACTGATACATACTTTCACCGCTTCAGCGTTCTTTGGTTGGGCCACTTCACCTATCCATTAAAATGCAATACACCTGAGCGCTCAACAAATATGGTCGCGGTAGTATAAATGGAGCAACAGCCAGGCGTGGAAATCTTGATTCATATCGGCGCCCCAAGCAGAGCAGCTGATGACGTTTGGTATCGATCTCTCGCCTCTTCCTATATAAATTTCCAGCCAGCCGCCAGTATCGATTTCCTTAACCAAGCATGCTCAACTGTGGATATAAACGATGGGCAGGGGACCCAAGAAGCCCCAGCCTTCGCTACTGGCACACAATTAAGTGAGCCATTTGGTCAGTATAAGTCACCACAGGCCTCATTCAATAGCGTCCTTGACAATTCCGGGTCACCACGCGTCTTTGCGCGACGGATATTGGAGGATGAGCCTCCGAGTACCAATGATGAAACTACAGCGCCGATAATACAGTCGCCATGGCAGACACCGTCTAGCGAAGTGCAAGATTCATACGTAGGGAATCCTATCCACATCTCTACCTTCACCTCTCCTACGAGAATCTTAGAACATTACCTGCAACGGTTTGATTCTCCATCACCATCTCAAATAACTACATCTCAACGAAGCGGCATCGACATTCCCCCTGGTAGCTCTCAGAGGTCAATTCTCCCTCGCTCCGAAGATAATCCAATTCCTCTTTTAACTTCATTTACACCATCGGTAATACCCTGCACACCCCCGTGTGATCCCCGTCCTAGCCCAGGGGGATTAGTTGAGACAAAACCTATAGAGGCATACCACACAAGATTTACCCAAGATGAGGTATCCAGTGACAATATTGTCGAGGAGACTATCTTGATACGATCCTCAGACCTCTCATCCACAACCAGAGCGGACTCCGAACCTCCACCTGCCAAGCGGCACCAGCCAGATACTCTCGACAAAGACCCGCGGGCCCTCCCAAGAGCCGCAAGCGACATTGGCCCAAGAGTAGTATCTTCCAGCCAGAAGTCGTTCTTAAAAGTAACCTTCCTAAGCGACCACGGGTACACATACGACAGCCTGGAACTCTACGCACCAGAACCTCCTGTCTCAGTGACGCAGGTCGACCCGCAAAGTTTCATCACGCCAGGCCTCGAAAGCTTAGCCCGGGATCTAGATATCCCGAAGCGATACAGACCAAAAGAAAGCAAACGAGACCTGCGGCCTTCCGAGCGCGGGTACTGGCTCGTAGACTGTTCGGCTTGGGATCCGCAGCTCAAACGCGATGCTTGGGCGTACCTTGCAAACTACGTCGGGACTGGCGTTGCGGGATGGGGCGTCTCGTGTAGAAGGGACAGGGAATTCCAAGGTTTCCGTGTTTACTGCTGGGGCTTGGTAACGGCGCATATCTACTTGCTATTATATCTGGCCAGTCAGCGGAAGATTCTGTATACTGGCGGCTCTTGGATTGATAGCGAGGGTATCCCGGTTATTGTCATGCAAACGAGAGAATAATACTAATAAGGGCATCTTGTCTATGATAAAGGGTGGGAATTAAACGGTGTTATGAGCATTTACGGGGTTTGGCGTACGGAATAGGATATCACTGGGATATATTTAGTGAGAATTAGAAATTTAATTGCCAATACTTTTCACAGCACAAGTTTTTTTTTGTTTGATACCAATACAATTCTCCCACTATTACCATCACTAGGGTGGGATCTTCGGGCAGTTCTCATTAGGAAATGGGGGTGAGTATTGCGAGACAAACGGACTATCTACAAGTACAAGCCGTGTCCAACAAGTAGTCACGGTTAAGCCACTGCATCGTCCCGAAATGAATGTAACGAATTCTTGCGTCGCCACAAGAACGAAAATCATTGGACGGATCGGCCAATCCCCCAATCGTCTTTCCTCATAACAATAAAGGAGCCAGTGATTCTAGGGCTCATAGCCACCTAGTTTATGTATTAGTAATAGGCGGGAAAAGGAGCCCAGATCATGCAGATGGCGTGGTTGAACGACGAGGTGCCGGCTTGCGATGCAGAACGGCCTCATATTCCTTCTCATAATCCTCCCTGGATGCCTTTCCAAGGTCCTCATACGCCTATAGTCTAATTAGTTTTCGTGGTAATCAAAATAGAGACATGAGGTAGTCTTACGTGGCGTTCCACATCCGGCAATCTCGCCCACTCTCTTCCGATTTCCCTGCTAACATCAAGGAAGGGGCGGTTCGCGAAGTCTCCAGAAGCCCATCGTGCCTTTGTGAAAAGACTGAAAGCACTAACGGGTTTCTTGGGGACACGCTCGTCGTGAATGAGTTTCAGGACCCCCTTGGGGTAGTTGTGCTTCCTCTTCAGGACACCCCGGGCCCGGTTGGCTTCAACCGTCTGCTCAGGAGGATGGCTCTCTACCCAAGCCTTATAGGCAGCTGCGTTTTTGAGTTTGTTTTGCGCGGCAATATCGGCAAGACGCTAATAATGGTCAGGGCATTGGCCATAGCTATAATCAGTATCATGGTAAATTACTAACCTGCTTCTCTGAGGCTGAAATAGTTTTATAACTCTGAGACAAGTCTCCCATCCGAGCTCGAATCCGTTCCGGACCGATAGTTTCACCCTTGGTATGCTCAGCTACAAATACAGTCCATGCGCCGTCGGGAAGCTGCTTTGGTTCGCGGAATAGTGCCGTCTTCTTGAGAGCTCTTTTCTCAAGGATGGCCTTGTTCTCCGGTGACATTGGCTTTCGCTTTCGTGCGCCCTTCTTGCCCTTGGCCTTGGCTTTTGACTTGGGGGCCGCCTTCTTCTTGGACTTGGTTTTGGCCTTAGTAGCTGTCGCCTTCTTGGTTTTTCCTTTAGTAGCTGTTGCTTTGGTAGTACCTTTGGTGGTCTTGGTGGCCTTAGTAGTCTTGGTGGCTTTAGGCTTCGAGGTTTTGGTGGTGGCCTTAGTAGTGGTAGAAGCCGCCTTTGGCTGTCCTGTAGTCGCAAAACCTTGGATGAAGCCACGACCATAGGTAATGGGCCGTGAGACCGCAATGCAGCGGGGTGCCGTGGTGGCAGACGTAGAGACTAGCCGCCTAATCGCGGCACGTCCTATAGACGACAGCATGGTAGGCAGAGGTTTGTTGTTGAAGTTTTCACGTGGAATTGGACGAGTTAGAAAAAAGTAAAGAGCAATTTGCAAGTGGGACTAGAGGGGCGCCTGGATGCGTTGAGGACGGAATTGAAAAAGGCAATTCGGACCTATGTTTATTCCACACGCGACAAATTGAGACAAATTAATGCAGCTACCTTAGGTTAGGTAACTTTGTGATTGAGCTTTTTCTGTTGTGTGATGTGTGATGTGTTATCTGCTATCTAGCCGACCCACTAGCAACCATGCAGCCAAGTAGCTCTCCACACCTAGGTAAAATTACAAGCTACCCGTACCTTCTAGCGAACGTGGTGGCGTCATGCATTAAAAAAATCGAAAAAAGTCGAACGTTTAAGCCACACATATACGGTACAGAGGTCATTTTGTACTGTCGTACTGTTTAGTTACTCTTCAGCCCCTTTAGCCACATATTGATTTTTCATACGGCCGAAAGTTGGAAACCATCTTTGAGCTAAAATATACTGAATTCAATTAACTGACTGCAGGTGAGCAAGTCAAATAACTTCTTCATTCATCCATTACCTCCTCCACGTTAGATAATCTCCAACGACTAAATTAATTTGCTTGTATAGCCAAGGCGCAAGAAATATCCGGGCTTCAATTCACTAGGTGATCTTTCTATTCAAGTCTGGTCGTCTAATTAGAAGCTTCCTTCGAGTCCTCTGGTAGCTCTCACCATTGTAGTGCGACCGAGCCGTACTATATATAAAAAACCATGGCTCGGCTCAGAGACTCACGCTCACCAACTCCAGCAGGAAGCCAGCAACCCTCCAGAAGACATCGTAGAGATGACGATAGAAAGGATCGAGATCGATTTCGGGATCGGGATCGCCGAGACTACGGGCGCGACGTAAGACGCCGAAGTCGCTCTCGGAGCCCACACGATGTAAGACGCCACGGACCTAGCAGATATAGCAATGTTCACTTTACTAACAACTGTTTGGTACAGCGTCGTAATCGCGACCGGGACCGCGACCGGGATAGAGATCATGACTTCCGCCGCCGTGACCGTTCCGTAGACCGTCGAGGTGATGACCATTATCGAGGTGGAAGGGACCGCAGGCGGTCGCGTGATCGCCTCGCAGATAGGGAGAGGGACCGCTCTACCGAGCCTCGCCGGCGCAGAAGCCGTGACCGTGATGGTGACAGAGATCTCCGAAGCAGGCGAGACGACTCCCGTGATCGAGTCAGAGGACGACGCGAAGGTACTGCTGACTCTCATCCGCGCAGTAGGCGAGGTGATAGCCGCGAGCGAGGCCCAGCGCCTAGCGATGCCGCCAAGGCGAAGCCATCAGATGTATGTTTTATAAACTTGTTGTATTATACTACGGATATTAACACATCTTTACAGGTAGAATCGAAACCAAAGCCTGCTCCCGCCCAGTCTGATACCGATAAAAAGGCTGAGCGCCTCGCCAAGTTGGCCGCATGGAAGAAGAAGCAGGAGGAGAAGGAGAAACAGAAAGAACCGACTCCAGGTGGAACTCGGAAGCTTCTTGCTGAGATGGACGAAAAGGCTAACACTGTACCCTCCAATACAACACCTGTAGGAGCTTCTCCGACGCCAATATCGCCTGCTGACACGCAGGTCCCTTCGCCAGCAACCCCATATGCTGGTAAATTTGATCCTAAGGCCATCGCTAAGAAGTCGGCTCCTAAAGCGCACCCTCCAGCCGCGCCTAAACTAGGTGCCGTTGCCGGACAGCCGCCACCCATAAGCCTCAGTTCAACCGCGCAGGTCTCGAGTGGTGAGTACTTACGCCAGTGTGTCTCCTGTCGAGTTGCTAATATTATTACCGAAGCGTCTGCTCTTCCGCAAAGTAGAGCTAAAACGAGTGGCTTCGGTTTCCACAAGCAAAATGCAGAAACCGAGAAAGTTGCTCAAAAGCGGAAGTTGATACTGGATGAAGAAGAGACGTCAGACAGAAAACTTGCTAAGCTACCCTCCCTACCCCTCGACGACGTAGATGATACACCCTATGAAAATCAGGACGAAGAGGATGACGATGATACTGTTCCTTTCGCCGGGGATGAAGAAGAAGAGGCCGCTGCAGCCCGAGCAGCTCAGGAGAGACGAGAGGAGCGTATCGCGCAAGAGAATGCGCAGCAGACGACGGAAATGCAGGTTGATCAAGGCGAAGAAGAAACAACTCCTGAAACGAATGGTATCACTCAGACTACCCAGCCGGACGACGTCATGGAAGTTGATGAGGATGATGTTGATCCTCTAGATGCCTTCATGAATGATCTTGAGACCAAACCCGCTACTAATCCACGTCCCAAAGCAAACCTCAACCAGAGTAAAGATTTGCAAGAGCCGGAAGCGTATTTCAGCGACGATGAGTATGACTACCGGAACGAGAATGTGGACCCCGATTCGTTCTTGGCCATCGCGGCGAAAGCTCGCAAGAAGAAAGACATCCCATCTGTTGACTACAGCAAGCTTGACCTACAACCTGTTCGAAAGAATTTCTGGGTTGAACCATCAGAGTTATCAGAGATGACCGATGCCGAATTAGCAGACCTGCGCATTGAACTGGACGGGATCAAGGTATCTGGTAAGGACGTGCCGAAGCCTGTTCAAAAGTGGTCCCAATGTGCTCTGTCGCGGAAAACGCTCGATATTATTGACAGCTTAGGATACGAAAAGCCCACGCCGATTCAGATGCAAGCGTTTCCTACAATCATGTCCGGTCGAGACGTCATTGGCGTTGCGAAGACTGGATCGGGCAAAACTCTAGCTTTCTTATTACCTATGTTCAGGCACATCAAGGATCAGCGGCCTCTGAAGGAGAGCGAAGGTCCTATTGGCTTGATTATGACTCCTACGCGTGAGTTAGCTACCCAGATCTACCGAGACTGCAAACCATTCCTCAAGTCAATGAACCTTCGCGGAGTCTGTGCATACGGCGGCGCGCCTATCAAAGATCACATCGCCGAGTTGAAGAGAGGCGCAGAAATTGTGGTTTGCACCCCAGGTCGTATGATTGATCTGCTAGCAGCGAATCAAGGTCGCGTAACTAACCTAAAGAGGGTTACGTATGTCGTCCTTGACGAGGCAGACAGAATGTTTGACATGGGCTTCGAACCCCAGGTAATGAAAATCTTCGCGAATATGCGACCAGACCGCCAGACAATTCTCTTCTCGGCTACCATGCCTCGTATCATGGATGCGCTGGCTAAGAAGGTTCTAAACAATCCCGTAGAAATCACTGTAGGAGGGAAGAGCGTTGTCGCCCCTGAAATCACCCAGGTTGTCGAGATTCGAGAAGAAAATTCCAAATTTGTTCGCCTGCTTGAGCTCTTGGGCGAGCTTTATGACAGGGACGAGGATGCTCGAGCGCTAATATTCGTGGAACGCCAGGAGAAGGCAGACGACTTACTGAAGGAACTATTGCGCAAAGGTTACCCTTGCATGTCAATTCACGGTGGGAAGGACCAAATAGACAGGGACTCAACCATTATAGATTTCAAAGCTGGAGTTATTCCAGTCCTCATCGCGACGTCCGTGGCAGCTCGTGGTCTCGATGTTAAGCAATTGAAACTCGTCGTCAATTACGACGCCCCGAACCATCTCGAAGACTATGTGCACCGTGCCGGCCGTACCGGGCGTGCTGGTAACAAAGGAACAGCAGTCACCTTCATAACAAGAGACCAAGAAAACTGCGCGCCTGGAATCGCGAAGGCCCTGGAGCAGAGCGGACAGGAGGTGCCGCCGGAACTGGAAGAAATGCGTAAAGCATTTAGGGATAAAGTCAAGTCTGGCAAAGCCAAAGATCAATCTGGCTTTGGCGGCAAAGGACTGGAGAAGCTTGATCAGGAGAGAGAAGCAGCCCGACTCAGAGAGCGAAAATCCCATCGGACAGAAGGCGAGGAGGAGGAGGAAAAGAAAGAGGAGAAAAGCGGCGAGGACAAGAAGGGCGATAAGGCTCTGTCGGCCATTCAGACAGCCTCTTCGGGTATTATCTCTCGCGATGCTGCTGCTCCGAAGATTGATCTGGAACCGAAATTTACTATCCACAAGAGGGAAGATGCCGCACCATCCGCAAGCGCCAGCAACCCCTTGGACAAGGTGTCTTCTGCGATCAATGCGATCAATGCTCGCTTAGGCCGCGCGGGCCAGCTGAGACCAGGTCAGCCAATCGACAACAAAGGCCCAGACGCAGGTGCGTTCCACGCAACTCTCGAAATCAACGATTTCCCACAGAAGGCCCGTTGGGCCGTCACTAATAGAACCAATGTCGCCAAAATTCTTGAGGCGACTGGAACGTCTATCACCAACAAAGGAACATTTTATCGACCTGGGCAAGAAGTACCGCCTGACGGCGAGCCTAAGCTTTACATTCTAGTGGAAGGTGATACTGAGTTAATGGTGGCTAACGCCATGGCCGAGCTCACCCGCTTGCTTAAGGAGGGTACCATCGCCGCCGCTGATGCGGACAATAGGGCCCCTATTGGTGGTAGATACACAGTCACTTAGGATTATAATAGATGGCAAGGCAGAGAAAGTATCGTGAACTAGTAGGACTGGCGTGCTCTGTTTACGAAAGGATTTTGTTTGGCGTTTGGCAGGCTGGAGAAGAAGACAGACGTAGACATTTCGAATCGAATGAAGAGTCGCTAAGTAATGCTATAAATTAAAATGCATATTGCGATATGTTCGCGCCTTATTTATATAGGTAACTACCTAGTTATGAGTTCTCGCGTTTGCTGCCTCGTCAGCATCTCGTTGCCTTATCTCATTGTTGCTAAGCTCCTTGAGCGTATCGTTGCGTGTCTGCTTCTTCTGTGCTGCCAACTGCGTGCCTAGCTTCCCCGTAGACTTGGAGGCCGTAGCATTTGCCCTTGCCTATAAATTGACAGTTTAGAATAGAGAATAGAGAATAGAGGGTACGAATAAATAGTATGGCTAAATCTGATGGATAGGTGAGATAGGAGACGTTACCTCGGCAGCTTCAGCAGCTCGTTTCCGAGCCTCCTCCGCGTTGCTATTGTCTTGTGGCTGCTTTTGAGGGTTTCCGCCCAATGTCCGAGGCGGACCGCCGACGGAAGCCGGGACGGACGAGCGTTCCGGCTGGGGGGGCGGGGCGGAACCGAGAACGCGACCGGGCTGAGAGAAGTTTTCACTTTCCGACTTGCCGCAGATATTTCCCATCTTTCTTTGGAAGCTAGCGGTGGGGATAACCGGAGCCAGTAACGTTGTCTAAACTTAACCTGATCTCTGTTGCGGGAAGGTTTTGCTAATGTGCGTAGTTAATCTAGTAGATGAAACGTTGCTTAGGCGGTCTGTTTGCTAGGTGGTGGTGGTAGTTGCGATTAGACGCGGGACGGGTGTTTCCATAGATCAGATGAGGCTCAAAAGATCTGTAGGTAATGCATGGAAGAGTTTAGATAAGCTGCTTTAGATTTACGCATTGGTAGATGCACACGTGGGGTTGGCATGTCAAATATTCGAACTTACCGAAACGAGCTTTAGGACCCTGAAAGCTGAGGTGCACGGTGTTAGAGGGGAACGTATATCTACATGATTTATACAGAATCGGTGTTGGGTTTTCGGATGAGCGTAGCCGTAGTTCTGTAAGTACTGTGGAGGTACTTGCATGTTCTCAGCCTCCCATTTTAACTTATGCTTTTGAGCATGTGCCCGGTACGGGAGGGACCCACCTTAGGCAAGAACCTTGATGGCCACTTGTCACTGTACGCCATGCTGACTACAATATGTACGCACAGAAGTTTAGCCCCACATCAGCATTTTCTAACAAATCCATGGCCATTGATTGGTGAAATTCAACGTCAGCACCACCAAAAAGCGCAGTCGAATCCTGCGCCTTGACCAAGCATCACCAATGCTTGTACAACATTGGCACAAAGAGGTAGACTTTTTGTTTGCGGTTCGAACAGGAGGGACGACGAAGGGGGGTTTCAAGGGAGGTTGACATCTACTAGCAAGGTCTCAATTAGGTAACTAGTAGTTTTTAAGGTTTACCTATTGTTACTTGTACACTATTGTACCTCGGTGTTTCTTGACTAAAAAAAAACTGTTGCGCAGTTACTGCAAACTGCAAACTGCAAGTACCGCAACTTTGTCACAACCCGACCATCAAGGTTCTCAACCTTCGACCTACACTAAATTATGCCCATATGCCCATATGCCCATATGCCCATATGCCCACACCACCCCTTCTCCTCTGAACTTTTTTCTTTTCTTTTATGAACGAGACGAAGAGCCTCGTTTCGTAATATTCCGTGCGGTCTGTGCCGATCTAACCTAATCCTAGATCTCACGAGCCGTTGACGCACCAGCCAATACTGATCTCACACCGAAGGCATCAGGTTTCTCTCTAGCAAACTCTTCATCAGTCCACAGCCGCATATCTTCCACCAGACAGCTACCGACTTGTCCTAGACTTTTCTTTCCTCATGGAAGACTCAGTCGATCCCACTGATGCAACTTATGGCCTCCCTTCTCTTACATCGTCACCCTCAACGGAGAGACTCACCAACTCTCTCACACCTACTTCTCACAACTTCGACGATGTATTTTCCTTTGGCCAGTCTTCTTCTCTTGATACCATTGAACCCTCGTCACTAAATCTCCATCATACATCTCATGATGATACTTGCCTAGACACGTGCGTAAGCACCTTCAACCCTCAGGGGATAGGGATACATCGGAGTGCCTATGGCCCGTCTTTTCCTCCTAGGAATCGGGCTACCGTCTCGACTTTCTCGCCCTTTTATCAGCTATATGGGAACAATGTCTTCCAACAGCCGATGCAACAAGTCAACCATTTATATATGTATCCTCTCCCGGACATGGGCCTAAAGTATGGCTTAAATCACGACATCAAGCCAGGGCATCATGGCTCATTCAGTGAGTCACTCCTCGGGAACAACTTCAATGCTGCGGACTTGGGGCTTCCACAGTGCTCCGTTCCTGACGACTGCGCTTCTGTGAATTGTAGCAAATTTTCATGCTCAAGCGACTGTTGTTCCACTCAAGTCTGCCAAGAGGAGGAATGTTCTGGAGATGGTACGCCTTGTGACGACTTGCACTGCCTCGATAGCACTTTCGACGAAATGTGGACTATAGACCAAGGCTGGCATAATCCTCCATCAACAGACCTAACTTTGCCCCCACATAACCCGCCTTGTAATCACACCAACACCGAGCATGATGTTGCCTTTACCCTGCGGAACTTAAGGACCCCAGGTGCTTTGAATCCTTCGCAGCAGCAGCAGCATGACTTCCATCAGTTCGAACCTATCCACCATCATCCAGGCCTCTCGTGTACCCCTGAGATAGATTCGATACCGACTCCGTTGATAGAACCTTTCAATGAGGCTGAAGGCACGACTCAACTTGTTTGCCAGTGGATAATATATCCTGGAGGAGAGGGTCAAGAGATTTGCGGTCATGTTTGCAATGATAGCTATTCTCTCCATGAGCACTTGTGCAGCGACCACATATCATTGCTAACAAGCAAGACGAAATACATCTGTCTCTGGAACGGCTGTCCCCGCCGTGGTGACCAAGTATTCGCCTCTCGTAACAAACTACGGCGTCATCTTGCAACCCACACAGCTTGTAAGTCGGTTTCACCCAGTTCTCGAGAATGATACTAACGGTGGACAAGACAAACCGCATAAATGCGCAATATGTGGCGAGGGCTTCTCAGCGCAACAAGCCCTTGACCAACACGTTAGAACGCACACAGGCGAGATGCCATATAAGTGCGACTTTGAAGGATGTGGCAAGTCTTTCAAGCAAAAGAGTGCTCTAAGTACGTATACATACCCGTAACCATTTCGTATCCTACTAAATAGCAGACTAACCCGAGGTAGCTATGCATAAGCGTACTCATACCGGCGAGAAGCCATTAGAATGTAGCATATGCGGCAAGTGTTTCTGCGAATCCTCCAACCTCTCGAAACACCGGAAGACACATAACCCGGATTACAAATTCAAATGCGATGAGCCTGGCTGCACAAGTCAGTTTATCCGAATCGATCAATTAAGGAGACATCAGGCCAGACATGAAAGACCGAAGAAGAAACAGAAGACCCGAACAGCGGCGGAGCCAGCTTTATCGCCTATGTCACCGGAAACACCGCGTGACACCGTCCTGGAGCAGCAGGCTTCTATCCAGGCTTAGGGGCCTTGGATACATCCTCGTTTTACGTTTACTTAGGAGCGAGCTATGAATAAAAAGCGAAGTACATATCGGAAGGCTCTTGGCCAGGAGGAAAAGTTATCATAGGGTTTATAGTATTTGAAAGATTCAGGAGTTTGTGGCCGTAAGCAGTCAGGATTATAAGCGGTAGATTTTGGGACACCATACATGATGTACATAAGAGCATTTAAAAGCGGGAGCGGCAGCGATTCAATCTATCAAATACAGCGACTTGTTAAACAAAGTACCGATTTCTAATATCGTATAAATAAATGTGGTATTTCTCATAGGCCCAGTGACTCGGGGGTCTGAGTACACTTACATTTACCTTATATTATTACTTATTGTGAATACTTGATCCCGGCTTGTAATGTAAGGTCGATGGATCTTGTACGTGAAGTTTGGTGGCCTAACCGATTATGATGAGGTGATCGTTCGGTTCACCAACATGGTCACCAAGGTACCTACTTGCTATGCTGACTTACTATGCCTACAATACTTGGACATTTTAAGGGAGGACTGTTTTGCAGTAAAACATCTTCGTCACCATATAATTACATTCATATGTACTAATGTATAATTATATCAGACCTGGGAAAGCCTTGCTTGAGCTGCGTATATGAGTTATCATACGACAGAATGATATTTTCTTGGTCTTACATGATTAACCTTGTTAACCCTCCTCTTGTATATTTATTCGTGTAGGCGTTTTTACCACTTCTCTCTCGATAACATTTACTCGCAAGTTTGTACGGAACGAGCGGCGAACTAGGCTTGATGCTTGTAAACGCCTGAGAATGAGTCTATTGATTAATGTTGCTGGCGAAGCTACCTATCTAGTATCGGTTAAACAATATGTCCCTTGCGTTGAGTTAGATATAACTAGGCTATCCTCGGAGTTGGTGTAAGTGGGTTGTTGATTTAAGTTGAATAGGACGAATCGTGTTAGACTTGTTACTAGGTTAGCTGGTTGGTAACACTTATAGTGTCTTTAGATGAACAAATGGACTTCTAATTGTAAAATTCTCAGATAGACGTTTTTCAAATTCCGTTGCTAGATAAGCGTAACCTACTATCGGCATAGATGTTGATGCTCGGGTAAACGCTCATACATACCTACGTAAGTGAGAAATTTGGAGAGTTCAGGATTTAGATGCTATGAGAGGTTAACAGGGATTAAATATTAGCTCTTTAGTGATAAGTATATTCTCTATTATCAGCGGTCATAGGTCTTGCCTTAAGTTAGGCACTTTCCTAGAAATATAAATATATAGATACAGCTGAGGAAACGATGTCTTCCCAGGCAATCTATATTACAACACCACGGATGCTATTTTCTTATGGCGGCCGACGTACCTTTTATCACGTTGAGCCTGCCATCCAGGCAATTGACTATGCCTAGGTACGCACTGGTATGTATCCATTTGCTTTATACTTACTACCTAATTAACGAATAGACATAGGAGCTAGTATATATCCGTTTAGATCTACGAATCCGTTAGCGGGACCAGATGGTCTAGAAAATTATATTATCGTATTTCGATGCTGGTATGAGTGGGTGTAACGTATCCGGCTAGCTTTTACTGCCTATTTATTAAATATATCATGGCAATGCGGTTTCATATATGGGAGCTAATATCGGTTTTCGATTAATATGGAAGGTAGTGGCTTAGATTTAAGACGTTGGCAAATCACATATACGCAATAAGTCGTGATAACTTGTTCAGCACCCGAAGGCAAGTCTTTTTGCATTGGGCAGCGACATTGACTGCAAAGTGTGACCTCGTAAACACCTATGAACCGAAAAAGCCGTGTGATGCCATGCAAATATCAGTATTCCTTTTTTTTGGAATGACCACGACGCCCGTCTACTACCTCAAAAAGCGCCCGCGTTCCCCTCTTCATACAACCGAACTAATTCGTCTAAGTAGCCTATGGATACCCCGTAATGTTAGCCCGATGACCTTGGTTGAATAGATAGATATCCTCCTAGCTATGTTGTGCACAGCTGGATTCGAGGAGTTCAGCGTACCTTAACAGCGTACTTTCGCTGGGGGAAATGCGAGGCTCGCTTGCGTGTCTTCTCGAGGGTCTTGGCCTTATCTTCGGGCGACAGTCGGCGGCGGATGGCACGGGTCTGCTTGGGTCGGAGGTCCAGAGGGAGGTACTTCTTGTTCTTGTAGAACAAACGTAGCTGTGATCGTTGCTTAAGGTTCACGACTGTGAGGACACGGGCGATGGACTTTCGGAGATCGTGGCTAGAGAGCAGGGTGCATCGTTAGTGATAAAAATTCCTATGCTATGCATGGTTGCCTTCTTTTCTTCACTCGTGTGGCTGCCGCGGGGGGAGGCTCGAAAAGTTCTGATAACCTAGAAACCCGCAATTGAATCAAAAATGGTGTAAACATACATCTTGTTCAGCTTGCTGCCGCTGGAAACGACCTGCTGGATGCGGAGCTGGCCGAGCTCGGTCTTGAGCTCTCCGAGAGTCTTCAATAAGTCCTCCTTGCTCTTGTTCCAGAGCTGACCCGTCTTGACCTTAGAAGTCGACTAAAACGAAGAATCAGCGGTGATATTCGATATTTTGACGCATGCGACGGTCGCATTGATTGATCGGTCGACTTACCATCTTGAATGGCTGGATGTGTTAGTAACGAGGTGAGGTCGGGTCTCCGGTAAACTTTCTTGAGGTTGTCTTGAAATTTCCGCCTAGAGAATTTGATAGACTACGAAAAGAATTGATTTGGTCGCAGTAGGGTTGTGGGCTGAAAACTTTAGTCATGTGACTGATAATCTAAAGAGTCCCGCTTTTTGTTGCAGCTAGACGAGCCGGCAGTCCATGTCCTGATTTCAACTAGGCCTAATTTCAACTATGAGAGGTACCTACGTATTGTACTTCACTAGCCACACCACCTTGAATGCACAGCCATATACATAGTGGATACCTTATGTAAGGTATGAAATGTCCATCTCGCAGCCCTCGGAATGCGATGTTACCGAAATCCCAAGATATGCAAAGGTATTGTACATACGTAGATTATGTATCTAATACCTAGTACGAAAGCCTCGAACATCACGACCTTTTACCAAAACTAAACTAATATCGTCATCAACGTACCACTTACACAAGCGCTTCCCGCGTCCATTAATCTCACGACCTATACGAATCTACTATCGAGAGCGTTTACCTAGAGCTAGGTACTCGTTTGTTGTTGGATGTAGTAATACCAGTGCCTGGCTTTCAGCGACGTATCCTGCATTACGAATTGCTTACATGGGACTTCTACATTAAAGAGGCAGTCTCTGCGTAATTTATCCCACACATCCTACTTCGGGGATGACTAGCACCTCTAGAACTCAACCTTAATATCCAATCTTCATAAACCAGCTTCGGATATGGCAGCGCCGACAGGGAATCAGGGCTGGGCCCAATTGCGCCAACAAGCTCGAAGCTTAGAGTCCCAGGTACTACACACAGCAATTATGTGCAAAGTTAAGACAGTGCTGACCTCGCAACTCATAGACGGAGACGCTATTCCATACGTACTCACAATTCTCTACCGTCCCTAATATCCCGGCGAAGCCGACTAAGGAGGAACGAGAGACGGAAGCAAAACTAGAGGAGATACTCGACAAGGTAAAACTACACCATCCGACCTGGTTACCGATCATTGGGCTGTGCAGACCTAGACTAACTGCTATCTAAAGAGGGACAATATCGTCAATCAACTTGCGCGTCTCCTAGACTCCGAAGCGAGCCTTACATCCTCCGCCCTCAAGCAGAACAACCTCTCCCTCCTACGAGAGAAGCTCGCCGAGCACAGACGAGACCTCGGGCGGTTACGATCCGGCCTGCAGGAAGCACGGAACCGCGCCAACTTACTCTCGAATGTCCGCGATGACATCCAGACGTACCGAGCGAACAACCCCGAAGCCGCCGAGGCCGAGTACATGCTAGACGAGCGCAACCGCATCGACAACAGCCACAACATGGTCGACAGCGTCCTCAGCCAAGCCTACGCCACCAACGAGAGCTTCCTCGTGCAGCGGGAAACCCTAGCCAGCATCAACCGGAGGATCACTATGGCCGCGAGCCAAGTCCCTGGCTTAAACACCCTGATTGGCAAGATCTCGGCGCGGAAGCGGCGAGATAGCTTTATCATGGGCGGCTTCATCGCCTTCTGCTTCGTCATCTTTTGGTTTTTCTTGTAGGCGGTAGCGGTAATGAAGATGGGCGGCCTGTCTTTTTTGGACTAGGGGGTGGGAATACCTTGGCTTTTCCAGTTGGCATTATTTCCTGCAAGGCGTTCCGGCTATTCGAAGGGGACGAAAGTACGCTGTATAATATGAAGGGGGGAAGATATGCCAGAGAATCAATCGGTCATAGAAAACCTATCAAACGGATAGCGGTAACTAACTAATACGACTGGCTCGCACCGTTGTGATCTAACATAGAACAATTAAGGGGAACTCTCAGCGTTGAGCTATTTGCCTTGTAAATTGAGGAGCGGGTATCATTTTTGATCATGGTGCACAATAATACATAACCTGTTAACTTTTCTTGGAGCTCTTCGCCTCGTCCAAAAGTCTCTGGACGCCCTTGACTAGACCTTCCCGCTCGTGATCCTCGCTGGGACCGCTACCTGCCCACCGTATCCTGCACTCGCCGTCGAGAAGGTATACGTAACCCACACTCCTATTTAAAAGACCGGTATTCTCACGAATCTCGTCATTGAGCCCCCTCTGCACAACGAAATACCGGTCCCAATTCGGCTCGCCAATCCGGCGTCTAATTCCCCCCATAAAAAGCTTGATCAGCCAGGCCTTCATGGAGTTATCCTCGTAGTTAATCCAGACTCGCTGGACCGCGTCCTCGTTCTGCTGCAGCACCGTCTCCAGCTCGGGATTGGCTTCCTTGGACACGAACGAGTTGATCTGGTTCTCGGCCCACACGCTGCTGAACACGCTGACGACGGAGATCTTATCCTGTAGCGCGGGCGTCGTGTCGCGGGGCTTGCTGTCGCTCTTTAGAAGCGTTCGCCCGAATAGGTTCGGGAAGAAGAGGGAGAGGTCCCCTTTGAAGGGCCGCGGCGGAGCGACGAACGTCTTGCCCTTGTGGAAGCGCAGGTTGCCCCAGTCGCGGAAGTACGGGCGCGACATCTTGCTCATGCTGTGGGTAGCGGAGATGTTAGTTAGGTACCTAAGCTACCCCGCCAAAGCATGGTGGTCAATTGGGGGGGGATATGTGTGCCATACAGTTCCTCTCTCCGCTTCAGATGTTTGTCGTAGTTCACAAAATCATCGCGGCGTTGTTTTAGCGTGCGGTTGTCTATGCCTGTGTTCTCGCCCGGTTTCGGTGGCTGCGGCATGCCTATCGGCCGGCTCAGCGGCTTCGGCGTGAACTCTTCGATCCGTTTGCCGTACGATCTCGGCGCGTCTTGTAACGGGGAAGGCGGTATAAATTTGGCCGGCGCCGGCGAGGCTGGTGAGGCCGGTGTCTCCGTTTTGGCCGGGTTATTATCACTTGCGACGGGCTTTGCAGCCTTCGTAGTAGTAGTAGGACCTTGCTCCGCTAACAAGCGATACGAGGTACTAAATGCTCTCGATTGGCAGAGCAGGCATAGAAGCCCCGGCCTACGGGCGAGCAACATGATTCGAGGAGGTAATAACTAAAAGCTAATAATACATTTCAATTAGTTAGATGGTTACAAGCTGAGGCTAAGCGGGTGCTGCCGTTAGCATCACGCACTTCGAATTCCAACGTTCGTAAAATTTCACTAAGGCAGAAGCTAAAATGATAAAAAAAGATTACCTAAGTGACATTATCGAGTAGCATTATCGCTCATCAAGGTTCGCGGCACACCTTGCCTGCAGGAACGCGACTTAGTGGATCCGATGACATGGTCCATCCAATTGTAGTGGGGTAAGTAAAGGTAAAAACGGCCGTGCTACCGGTGGTGGGCTGGGCGGCCACAATCGGCTTCCCCAGATTCCGGAAAGCAACGGCACAATGTGGGGGAATTGGAAGGTCGTCGGTCCAAAGCCTGTAGGAAGTAGCGTTTTGAAAGGGCGGGAAGGTCAGCATCGTTACCTAGGTTAGTTTCTCCCCTCTTACCTTCCTCTTCTTCTTCCATGAGCCGAGCTTCCCATGTATTAGTTGCGTCTCGTTTCGTTTTTTAGATATCTAAAATGTAATATTCCTAATTCAACTATATACCCATCTAACTATACAATGTTTCTTTACCGTAGTTCTCGCGCAATTCGCCATCAATGGCGATTATGCCGGGGTCTAAATCGCACTCCCGAGTCCCAAGTCCGCGCTGCCCTAATAAGAGGTTTTCATGCGAGCAGGAATCTACAGGTCGTGAAGCCCGTCCTCCTTGCCGATATTGGCGAAGGTGAGGATTCATTCCTATCAGACCGTTATCTCCTCGTGTCTCCGTGCTGGTACTTACATCGCGTATAGGCATTGTGGAGTGCGAAATCATACAATGGTTTGTCGAGCCCAACGCCCGAGTCGAGGAGTTCTCACCCCTGTGTGAGGTCCAGAGCGACAAAGCCTCGGTCGAAATTACAAGCCGCTTCTCGGGCGTTGTGAAGAAGCTGTACTACGAGGCCGGCGAAATGGCGAGAGTAGGCAAACCATTCGTGGATATTGATATACAAGGCGGCGCTAGTCAGGAAGCCTTAGACGCTCTTACCACCCCTGAACCCTCAGAAGAAGGAGCCTCGGAGCCGTTAAACAAGGAATCATTAAGCAAACCTCCTCAGGATCAAGGTACTATAGATAAGGCAGTCGAGCCCAAGTCTCAGCCACCTCCAGTAAAGAAGGGAAAATACGCATCTCTGGCAACTCCAGCAGTTCGACATCGGTTAAAGGAACTAAATATTGATATAACGGAAGTTGAGGGAACAGGGAAAGATGGTAGAGTTTTAAAAGAAGATATCTATAAGTTTGTTGAGAAGAGAGATTCCCCTACGCAGCCGTCTCAACCAACAAGTTTATTCCCGGGCATACCGCCAGAGACGGAGAAACAAACCGAGACCATTATACAACTGACAAATACGCAACAACAAATGTTCAAAACTATGACTCGGTCTTTAGCTATACCGCACTTCCTCTACGCGGACGAGATCGACTTCTCTCAGCTAGTTGAGTTACGCCGGCGGCTGAATAAGGTTGTATCGGAATTCGCAACCGACGGTCAGCTATCGAAATTAACTTATTTACCTTTTATCGTAAAAGCAGTCTCCATAGCGTTACATCAGTATCCTATACTGAATGCCCGCGTCGACGTGGACCCCGAGACGTCAAAACCGAGGCTGGTTCACCGCAGTCAGCACAATATCGGCGTCGCTATGGATACCCCCTCCGGGCTTATAGTTCCCGTAATCAAGAACGCTGGAGCGAAGAGCATCCTCTCCATAGCTGCAGAGTTATCACGTCTGCAGTCGCTAGCTGCGGCTGGCAAGCTTTCGCCGCAGGACTTGAGCGGAGGCACTATTACCGTATCCAACATAGGCAACGTCGGCGGTACATATGTCTCCCCAGTCATCGTGGAGAAAGAAGTGGCGATTCTGGGCGTGGGACGCATGCGAACCGTTCCAGCCTTCGATGACCAGGACAATGTCGTCAAGAAGCAGGTCTGTAACTTCAGCTGGTGCGCCGATCATCGTGTCGTGGACGGCGCAACGATGGCGCGAGCCGCTGAGGTCGTGCGCAAGATCGTAGAGGAGCCAGATATTATGGTTCTGCATCTGCGATAGCGTAAGCATGGAACTTCTTCTTGGTGCCCAAACCCAAGATGGACACCGCGAGGGTGGAATAGACGGGACGCCACCCGCATATCTATACGGCGAACCAGTGCTAGACACGGCGGGCTCTAGGATATGATATGATAGTTTTTTTTTTTTGGGAAGATGATATGTCATATACGATAGCCAGAGATCATAGTCGCAAGGCTAGCCGCTTCTTACATAGCATATAGGTAGTATATGTACATACTCCCCCCTAACCATAGATATAGCGTTTCTGGATTAGCTCCCTTCTGTTTTCGGCAGACAGCCTTATTGCTTTTCTTTTATTACACCCTCCCCCGGTGCTGAGTGATGCGCATGCATTGCATGCATGCATTCATGGACGTAGTCGTCACGCGTAGTGCTACCTACTACCTAGGTATATATGTAGTATGTACAGAGCGAGAGTCATCGGATTTGACTTGACAACTCTTGGCGCTTAGGTATCGCGTATCACCGTGTGAGGTAGAGATAGATGATTATTCATCGCCATCGCGTTCGTTCCCACGCGAGTTTGCGTGGATCCCTTTGCTTCGTCCGGACTAGATCCCGTCGAATAGGAGCTTTACTTCAAGGGGCTACCGCACGAGATGAACACCCGTTCGATGCACGGGGCTGGAAGCGGAAAGCGATGATGATGCTGATACCCGGCAAGTGTCAAAGTCAAAGTCAAGTGCTTCTGTTTCTTGTTTCGAGTCCCGAACCCTGGATGAAGCTTGCCTACCTACCTTCGACCGCCCTACGCATATCTTAACGGAAACCTAGGTAGGCTTAGTAGGTACCTATGACACGCGCCTAGTTCGAAAGCGGGCGGGCAGGCGGGCGTGGTTAGGGCGGCGCAGGGTTTCCGACGATCCATCCCATGTTCTCTCCGCCTGTCATGTCTTGTGTAAGTTATCCATTGTAGTGTAGATGCCCGCATGCCCGCCCGCCAGTTTGCATCTCTGGGCGGATCTTGATTCTTGGCTGTGTGTAGGGATCCGTGATCCTACATACCGTCCCACAAGTGGAACCTGTTCCCAGAAAGGCGATACCTAGGTAGCCTTGCCCGTTTCTACGCAAGCAAGTTTCAGACAGCGGTGGCGTAACTCCGCGACGCAGCGCAGCGCAACGTATGCATGTAGATGCCCGCGGGCATCTCTGGGTATGCCCTAGAAGGATGGCTATACGAGATGTGTCGACATAACTACAACCTCATGGAGGGACTATCCTAGAATCAAAATCCCATCGAGTCCCGACACCTTCCTTATGAGGTCGATCCCGCCCATCTGCATCGGTAGGTAGATCTATTCACCCCAAAGCACAATTCAAGCGGGTCCTACGGCGGCCCCCATTTGTGACCCCCATACGACGTATGTATGGAAAATGTGATATAATGAATATCTCATTGTTCTATAATCCAATTGTGTCACGTGTATGAATATCCCAAGACTCCTATACAACAGCTCACGCTGCTTGCATGATGCAGTTTACTCGAAAGGGGCATCCCCTCAGCCAAATGCCTCTAATTGCGCCAAAGTGAAAGCATGGGACCAACTCCTAAACTCGCTTGAATGGAGAACGGATGACGCTAACCTCAACCACTCATCCGTTGTTTGTAATTGCAACCGTTTGTTTCATCCCACTTTATAAACCATCCATGCCATATCGTGTTAGCTTGATGCAGTCTCGTCCATTTTCTGGAGAACCTTATTCAGAGAGTCCTCCAGAACATCTTCCATAGGCCTGCTCACGTCGACGCTGATCACGTCCGTTTCTTCTGCCGTCGGCGGCTCCAGAATAGAGAATTGGCTGTGGACCATATTTGCCCCCATATAATGCCCCTGTCTTAGCCCCACGCGCTCAAGAAGAACAGCTTCCGGCGCATGAAGGTAGATGAAGTGGAGAACAACGTCGTGCGAGTAGTAAGGGGCCACCCTGATGACATCTCGATACTTACGCTTGAGAGCAGAGCAGGTAAGCACAACTCCTTCAGCGCCATCTGCTAGTTTTCGTAGGGACTCCTCTCGTAGGGCAGTGAGCCAGTCCCATCGATCAGCATCAGTCAATGGTATGCCATTGGCCATTTTTTCAACGTTTGCCTTGGTGTGAAACTTGGGGACCACAATTTAGTCACTTTCACTTGTAGAACTTGTAGAATTGCCTGAATCAGGTTTAAACTAAAAAACTCACCTCGTCACCTTCGATGTATGGTAAGTTAAGGGCCGTTGACAAGTGCTTGGCCACAGTGCTTTTTCCGCAACCGGCAGGGCCGGTGACTAACCAGATATGATGGTGTCTGGGTCCCGGCTGACCGTTGTTTTTTGCGATAGTGTTATTCGATGTTACTGGTACCATGGTGGCATTGATAGGCTTTGGGTTCGGTGCCATAGTATTTAATGAAGCAGCCATACTAGCCGCAGAGTGCGTTCCATTTACTGGGACGGGATTGTCGTAGGATAACATCGTTATATAACTTGTTTTACTTTTTTTGCTTTTTGCCTTGTGAAGCGGCAATAGTTGGCACTGATGATATCTTGCAACAGGAAGCCACAGTGTGCGTTGGGCGTAGCTTAGCCACGTAAGGTATGAGTCGAACTAGGGGTATATAAGAACAGCGAACTTCGCAATGTAGTGTAAATCAAGAGAAAGAAAGATCAAGAAACAAAATACAGGAAGTCGGGGGTAATTAAAGCAGCGCAATATGGTAGAACTAGGGCAGATAGCAGTGGACCCGATGACTGTCGGCGAAGCAGCTGCGAAGTGTTGGTTTTATAAGTGGGAAGTGGGTGTCAGCACCTGGTAATGTACATCACAACATGCCTTGTTCCTACAGACGTAGAATGACGAAGTAGTGTACTTTAAAACCTGGCTGTTTTGTGCCACATCTGGGCAGTACCGACGACCGCTAAGATGGGCAGAAAAATTCAGCCAAAGCCTAGTACCTGAGATCCCCAAGACGGGGTCAGGGATCGATTTGGGCTAGACGCTAGAAGAAGCTCGAGAGAACATCAAAGAAGGCAATTTCTCATGAGAATGAGCCAATCAGATAAACGGACTCCCGTCTCCTTGGGGCTCCAGACTTACTCGACGTCAGGGAGGGAGGGGCGCGGGTAAAGGGTCAAGAGGTACCTAAACAATGTACTCTAACTGTTCTAGCATGCCCCAGAAGTACATATTTCTCCATCTTAAAAATGATAAAATAGACGACTCAAGTGGGGGAACGCATCGTCAACGCGAGAACCGATAAATAGGCCCGAGTTGGATGTCGCGAGTTGAAAGCCAGACCCAACAAGCGAACGGCATCCACTAGACCGAGAGATTCTGCCCGCCGGCGAGGATCTGCATCGAGTATGTCTACGGGCATAACTCGCGAGCCTGTTGAATGCCTTTCTTTTCCTTTGTCAGGGATTGGAAAAGTGTGTGTTGCGGTTTCAAGGTTACCCAACCCACGGTGTAGGGGAAAGCGCAGGGCATGGCTTGACCGGAGCCAGCGCAGAGAGTGTACATAAGAAATAACAAATGGAAATCAAGGATTTCGATGTAGGTGTTACAGCCCGTGTGCCAGTTACCTAGGCTGTTCCTTGTACCGTGGTAGTAAAATAGCTGGCGAGTTGTATTGCGCTGTCCATTGTTGAGGTGTTCAAGAACAGGCTGAACTATGTTGGAACAGTCTGATGTTGGAAGGGAGGGCAAGAAAGCGTTAGGAGGTACCTACGCAAAAGGTACTATGGTACATCTACACTAGAACTTGGGGTTGTTTCCCTGCTGGGTTTGGGGAAGGAGTTGACGACACACCGACACCTACCTAGTAAAGAGTCACTACCTCCTATGAAAGAGCCACTAAGAAATTTCCCCTTTTTTTAATTGCCCTTCCACCTTGCCGGCCTAGGTAATTTATTTAGTCTTCATCCTTTTTTCTTTTTCCTTCTTTTTTTCATCTCTTTTTGGTCACGCATCCCTTATTTCTTTTTATGCTTCACGCATTTTGTAGTTCCTCCTTTAATTTATTATTTATTATTACTCCTCTCATAACCTAATTTGGAATTGCGCGTTTTCTCCTGAGTCATGAGATTACTTATTCGATGGGTCTCGGTATAAAAGCGTTCGAGGTGCGATCCAGCTATCGAATACACTACGTAGGTACCTTATAAATGTAGCGTGGGGGGTTAAGATACATTAGGTACCTCTGAAGATGTACTGGTATTCCACTCTTTTACATTAGGCTGATGGAAATTTTATCGAACGAAGCATCGAAGCCTGAACTAACCGATACCAAGTTCGCCCTAATGTGAGAATGGAAAAGTGTGGAGGAAAACGTGGTGAGGACAGGGAGAAGCAAATCTATGGGTCACGAGCTGATCACTTCCAGGTTCAATTGTACCTGAGTCCCGTTAGGTACTTCTCTAGAGGTCAGCTACGATGGTACAAGAATGCTGTTTGATGCGAAACATCAATCGCTTGGAGCGAATTTGACTATGATGAATGATGACGACATGCTTTATATGTCACAAGAACGGGAAATATCACCTAGATCGGGTAGGCATTTATGGAGTCCGATTCTTTGTCCTCGTTGAAATCGGCGACAAATTGACCACGAAAACTTTGGCCCTATCAGAGCCTAGGACGAAGACGACACACATCTGACAGGGCTAAAACTGTGCCATCACATTGGATCGGATATTAACGCGATTCTAGTGCATATATTTGGCCTGCTATAAAAACATATTGAGGACAAGAAGTCAAGAGGACGAGGTCAAAACCACCACCACGTCTCCCTCTCCCTCTCGCGATTTATTACCTTCTCACAAGCACTTCTACTGAAAGGTTCCTCTACCTGTCATCCTACCAACTTATACGCGATATGTTTTTACTCCAAAAAATGATATGTTTCTTGGTGTAACAATGGCTGATCATCCACAGACTCGCCATGTTCCTTATTTAGTATAAATTCTGCACCTACATATGTACTGTGTAGCAAGGTAGTATTTTCGTGTCCGTATTATACATTTTCTATACCGGCGCTACCTGGGAATTGTCAGGCGTTCGTATCGCTACGCGCATATCAAAATTCAGCTATCCTTCTTTTCTGTTCGGGTGTCAGTTCCGGTAAACCCACTTTTGTGCACCCGCGGGAATTGTTCCAAATCGATGTCTAGTCAGAGATACTTATTGTTACAGCAAGGGAGCCGTCGGTGTTGGTGGGCCCGGGGCAGGACGGGGAGTAACGGCAAGGGCTTGCTCCTCACCGCTCAATGGCACTCCTCTCGCCAATCATATGATAGTATTGCGGATGCGATCCAGCGCTTGGGTCGAATACCAAGGTGAAAATACTAGGTAACGCTAAGGCTAGCTCTGCATGATTCTTCATGGCTTTCTGCAACCTGCAAGTGACAGATCAGACCTCACAAGTTACCTATCTCAATTTTCCAGCTTTTCCAGCTTTTCCCATTTCCACAATATAAGCATTCGTGGGTTTCAATACCTAATATGGCTCGTCGTCATCAACTCGTACTTCCTCCCGACTGCAGTCCCCGCAGAGAGACTCGTTGGCTATAACCGGGATAGACCGAGATGGGAAAGGAGGATGCATGCAACTTCGATGAATCCAACCCCCGAGAGAATAAATTCGGGCCAGTCGGTAAAGTGAGGAAGAGGAGGAAGAGGAGTGCGATGTCATAACAGTCTGGAGAATCACCATGCAGGTAAGAGGTCATGAGGTCCATTTTAACGATGGGGATTCGCACCAGTGCAACAGGATTTGCATTGCCTGCATATATAGCGGCTGACATTTCTGCGGTTCGGACTAACGCTGTGTTACTATAGTTTTATTATAGTTACTATAGGCAGGCTACATATCCGTGTCTCAAACATCGAGTCGGAGATGCTATTACATCTACGCCTCATACGTAATTAGACGTCCATTCCCGGATCAAGTATTATTCGAAAACAAGGCGCCCGCCAGGTCAGCCAACTCCTAACTTTATTCAAACGTGACTCTTTGCACGAGCTATTACGTCGTGCGAAGTATGCCGTCGAAAATTTTCTAGAGCATTAAATAATGTTAATGCTTCGAATATTCTAGGAGGTGGGTATTATATAGATATATTGGAACATATATAAGTTTAACACCTGGCTAGAGAAAAACCCGGCTTGTTAAAAAGCCAGGCACTCTACTTGTGATATAAGTAGGTTCGGTTATAGGGTCTTCCGAGAATTAAATTGCATTAACTAATAGCTTTGCATAGTTATATAAAGAACTTATCTCATTACGCTTCTTTGCTTCTTTAAATATTTACACAAAATACTCTTCTTAGAGAAGACTTCCGTTTTTTATCACAGACCACTTAGTAAATATCAGATACTGTCGTAGACTTAAGTATAGTTGACTACCATGGGTAATCCTCTTAAACGCCTACATCCGAGATCTACCTAAGTCCAAGCATCAAGAGTTATGTGTATACTTTTTCTCCCTATTATAATTCGTTAAATGCTTATGAGGGCTGCTTGATTGAGTCTATATACTACCTTATAGACCTGCCTTTCGAGAAGAAATCATGTTATAGGTGAGTAGGTGTATCAAGGTATGTAAAGATGCTCGTTTGAGCATGTGGCTACATATTGAGGGGTACTTCGTACAGCAGCCTTATGAGAGTTGTGGCGCGATTTTGAAAGTGCGGGGTACATTGAGGAGTAAGAGATTTGGGGGCGAAGTTAGGTATTTTGGGGCGGTGTTGATTACCTAACATATGTAGTACCTCCAACCAACCTGCATAGGAAAGTGAGAACGTAAACGAAGCCAAACTGTACATTTCCTCATCTTTAAATGACCTTATTCTCCTCCTTGACTCGAAGTACTCCTTCGATAGTCCGAACGTCAAGGTTACTGGCCCCTAGATTCTCTCCAAGACCCTTCACTATATTTGCATCAAAACCACAAATTAATCTTCCCAACCATTTTGTGGCTCGATCTTTTTCTTCCAAGATGAATGCCCAAGAACTTCAACAATACCTTGCCGATGCACCCCCTAGTGTCGTGAGGCTTGAGATAGAAAAACATTTCGATGCTTTAACTGATCGGCAAAAAAGATACGCACATTTCGCTAGCAGGTACTTACTATTCGATAAACTTCCATGAGATACGAAGACCTTGTATATTGACAACATTTGATAGAGCGGCGTTTCAAGGTACCAGGATTGTGGCGAGACAAATCTCACCTGAGTCCGAGCCAATAGTAAGCCACCCAGCGCTATAGTCACATTATTATATGCTCACCTATCCAGTACGATTTCATATTAGCCCTTCATAAGAGCAGCGGCGGTGACTGGAAAACGCTACAGGCCAAAGCTGGTATAACGGATGGGGACTTGGATCACTTCTTGCAGTATGCTGCACAGTTCTTGGGAAACAATGGCAATTACAAGAGCTTCGGTGATGCCAAATTCATTCCGCGGTGCTCCGAATCCGTGTTCGCTGCACTTGCGGCAACATCCCCCGATGCTCAGAAGTTCTACAATGCCACCTCCGGCGCCATCTTCTCTGCTGATAAACCTTCCCTGTTGCATCTCGGCTACCCTGAAGAAGGGCATTTGACTACTTACTATCCTGGATCTCCCGATATTACCAAAGTCGAAATTGACGCCATTTCAGCATGGATGGAGAAGAAAGGACTGCTCCCAGAGAACACCCGTCTTGTCAAAAACAAAGATGGTTCGTTTGATATTCTAATAGCTTCCGCAACTCGTACTGTCCCTAGTGAAGGCGGCGATATTGGAAAGGAGACCACGTTCAAAATCGAGGACGGTCCGTTGGCCGGAAAGACGGTTAACCTAGTCTATGGCGATTACTCTGAAGAACTAGCCGCTGCCACGGCAAGTGCAAAGGGAGCAGCAGAAAACGCGGACAATGATATCCAGAAAAAGATGTACGATGCCTATGCAAAGTCTTTTGAGGAGGGATCACTACTCGCCTTCAAGGATAGCCAGAGATTCTGGATCCGAGACAAGGGCCCGATGGTTGAGTCCAACATCGGTTTTATCGAGACATACCGTGACCCGGCCGGTATCCGAGCCGAGTGGGAAGGCTTTGCTGCTGTGGTCAACCTAGAACGCACCCGAGCTTTCGGGGCTCTTGTGGAAGCCGCCCCTGCTCTCATTCCAATCTTGCCATGGGACAAGCATTTTGAGAAAGACAATTTCTTGTCTCCAGATTTCACATCACTTGAAGTCTTAACATTCGCTGGTTCGGGTATCCCAATCGGAATCAATATCCCTAACTACGATGATATCAGACAAACCGAAGGCTTCAAGAACGTTTCTCTCGGAAATGTGATGAGCGCGAAGGCACCGGACGAGAAGATTCCGTTCATTGCAGAGAAAGATCTCGATATCTTTCAGCGCTACCGCGATGGCTCCTTCGAGGTCTTAGTCGGTCTCCACGAGCTCACAGGGCACGGTTGTGGTAAGCTACTACAAGAAACCGCTCCAGGAGAATTCAACTTCGATAAAGAAAATCCTCCCATCTCCCCCCTGACCGGAAAGCCTGTTACAACTTGGTACAAACCCGGCCAAACGTGGAGCTCTGTTTTCGGCAGCTTGTCTGGTTCATATGAAGAGTGTCGTGCAGAACTTGTTGCGATGTACCTTGGCTGCGAATTCCCCGTCTTGAAGATCTTTGGTTTCGGGGACGGCTCAGTCGACATCAACGGCGAGGCGGGTGATGTGCTTTATGCTTCCTATCTCTCTATGGCCCGAGGTGGTCTCACATCGCTTGAAATGTGGGATCCTAAGAGCAAAAAATGGGGACAAGCTCACTCGCAAGCCCGATTTTCCATTCTCAAGTGCTTCCTGGAGGCTGGCGACGATTTCTGCAAACTAGAATATGAATATAATGGAGATGACCTAACTGGTTTGACGATCAACTTGGATCGCTCCAAGATCCTTACGGCAGGCCGCAAAGCGGTGGGCGACTATCTTCAAAAGTTGCACATTTACAAATCCACAGCTGATGTCGAGAATGGAACCAAGTTCTACACCGAGATGACAAATGTCGATCCTGACTTCTGGGGTAAGAAGGTTAGGGACGAAGTTCTGCGCAACAAGCAGCCCCGAAAGGTGTTCGTGCAAGCCAATACCTACCTAGACGAGGCTACTGGTAAAGTTACACTTAAACACTACGACGCGACCGCCGAGGGAATGATACAGAGCTGGGCGGAACGAAACGTCTAACTTAGAAAGGAGTACGTAACTCGGATAAAGAGCATTATTGTGAGCATCTAGCATTCTAGGCGGGTAGCATCCGGGATTGCATGAAGAATTTGTTTTGGCAAAAGAATAAAAATCATTACAAGAGAAACTGTTCCCTGACTCGTAAGCCTCAAAATCTCACTCGCAGTAATGGAATTAACAATCCGTGAATATGGATTGCCTTTTTGCAAATATTAGTAACACATGTAGCACATAACTTCGTCCACGCGACTCCAAGTTTTTTTTAGTTTTTTGCCTTGATAGTCGTTTATTGACTAGAACCTCGATTACAGACGCCAGAATCAATGTGACCGATGCCTCAACGTCCAGATGCAATTGGCAGAGCCAGCCCAGTTCCGCGATCCGCCGTCCGCAAAGTCATGTAAGTTAATTTTCTCTAAAAGCAACATATCCTCCTAGAAACCCCCGGGCGAGCGCAAGTCTACCACTGCATCTCGTGGGGCTTGTCGCCCTTTCGGAGGCTGAAAGAGCTGGCAAGGTAGCTGGGGAGCAGGTCCACCTTCTTGATGTTGGCGATCAGAGCCTTGTCGATGGCCTTCTGGTCCGCTGCTCGGGTGCTGCTGATCTCCTTCTTCTGTAGTGTCGCGTATTAGCATCCTGTCTCTTTCTTATCAAGTCTCTTATAAAATAATTCATACCTGTGGCTTCTCGCCCTGCTTGAAGAAGGCGTCCTCGGTGGCCTTGTCCTTTACCTTGTCCCGGGCGAAGTACTGGGCTTGTGCGACCTCATCGATCTTGGCCTGATCTAAGCCGGCGAGGTCGACCTTGCAGGAGGTAGCGATGACGTATCGCGCGTTGACTCGTCGTAGGGGGACACCGTTGATCTTGAAGGGGCCGGTGACGAGAAGAACACCCGAATCGAGGGTCTTCAGGAGAACGACTCGCTTGCCTCGGAAGCGGCCGGCCAGGAGGATAAGCACGGTACCGGGCTGTAGAGTCTTTCGCGGAGTCCAGGGGCGGAGGGCCTTGCGGGTCTGTTGACGCGGAATTGTTAGCAAAGTGATTTCGAAATTATCGGTAAATAATGTAGTAGTTCGCCCGGGGAATTGGTTGTGTCCATCTATCTGCACAATTCCGTAATTGAAATTCAATGTAGAATTGCAGCAGCCTCGAGATTCGAGACGAATTCACCAAGACCACGGCAATTTCTCCCACAAATCCCAAAATTCACCACATTACGTTGCGAATGCCACAGATCCATCAAGCTCGGGGTTTTTTTTGAATTGCTGTTGGTCAACTTACAGTCTTGGGCTTGGAATCATCGTCGGCGGGATACCACTTCTGGGCCTTCTGGGAAGGGTGAGGGACCTCCCGGGTCGACTTCCCGAACGTCTTCTGTGTGCTCGGCTGCGACATCGTGAGGCTTGTCGGGGGGAGGGGAGGTGTTGTGGTGGGTTGAAGGGAAATTGTCAAGGTTCCTCGTTGTGGTTGATGATGCGAGGTCAGAAATTCCACTTTGCGCAAAAAGATCAATTCAGTTGTGGGCTTAGGCGAAGCCCTGGTGCCACCGTTCGAAATCTAATCTATGCGGCTGGGTGGGGCTAATGTGGCGGGTGCGCTACGGATTTTACATATTAGGTACGTATCTAGGTAGCTGTTGAGGATAAGCCACAGCATTGGAGATAACCTGATAACCCACCTTGGAATTGGGTTCGTCTTATGTTAGGTAATCTCAAAGTTTGGTACCTTGTACTATGTAAGCCTCGAGAACATTAGATGCTTCTAGTGGGTCGTACAGTGTATTTATGACATATATACGGTACATGCGTCAACGTAGCTCTTAGGTAAGCCAAGTCGAAGTGAGCTCTTGCACCTGCTTGACGAAGCTCCTGCAGCCTTGCAGCCAGCATCTCAACAAGCGTCACGTAATTTCATTGACAACCATTTCTCTATTTCTTCATTCCTCTATCACATTTCAACCCAGGCATACATATTCATACCACCATTTTGACAGGAAACATCCATCCAAAATGTCGATAACGCCCATTATAACCTTTAAAGCTGGGTTCTGCGATGTAGATGTATGTATACCTGAATCTTTAGTTTAAGCTTATTGGCCGTCTGAAGTCCAACGACTAACCAGAGTACCAGTCTTCAGGAAGGCCCTTTAAGATCAAGCCCTCAGGACAGCCCGGTTATATTTACCTCTATTCTGAAGATGGTATGTATTGCCTAGCATTCCATGCCGAGCATTACGCATAATTACTTACGCCTCCTAGATCTACTTCACTTCTGCTGGCGAGAGCGGAGTGCCCCTATCGACGAACCCGAGCTAGACCTCGTCATGGTGCCTACAGACGGCCATTTCGTACCTTACGATCCGAAAACTCAACCTAGAGAGGCCATCAAGCCCAACGGCCGCGTCTTCGTCCTTAAATTCCTTTCCTCTTCCCAGCGCTACCTCTTCTACCTACAATCAAAACCCCAAGGTCGGACTAATAACCCGAACTGGTTCAGCCCTCGCGACCTTAAGATTGGCGAGATCGTCGACAAGCTCCTCCAGGGCGAAGAGGTCGACGTGGCGCGCGAACTGGCCTCGATCAACAACAGCGACAACGACGACCGACGTGGCAACGATAATGACGAGATCATGGAGGACGTCGAAAGCCACGGCGGTGCTAGTCCCCAAGGAGGTAGCGGTGGTGCCGGCGCAGACGCGACTGGCGGCGACATACGGGATGAGGGCGAGGGTGCGCGAGAAGGTGGTGCTGATGGTGGTAGAGCGTAGGTGACTCCTGATTCTTCGTTTGCGGCGTTTGAAAAAGGACCTTTAAGGGCGAGAACATTGCATGCACTTGACAAAAGCAGGGCACTGGCCGACGCGCCCGGAGGCTTTGGCCTGCTGGGCTTCCATGTAATACTAGAGATAAGCCTGCAAATGGGAAATAATATATCTCTTCGTCATTTACTTGCCGCTTATCTTTCCACTAGAGAGCCCTGCGCTGACATTTTGTTAGTGCTGCCTTGGGAACCTCGGATGCTGCTATGGCGGTGAGAAACTTCTTGGATTCGTTGAAGGGAGGTGCCGGAGGAAGCCAAGGGGGGGAAGGGAAACTGTATCCGCTCCTTTCGGATCTTTTAACACCTCCCGTCACCGTTCCTATGGCCCGACAAGCTACGGAAGAGCAAGTGGACAATCTACTTAGCTTCTTACCGCCCTCGGTCCTGGTCCTGTCCCAACAAGCGGATGAAGGAGACACCACGGCAGAACCGACCGCCGCGGCGATACAAGCTGCTAAGGAAGCCATGAGTCTTGGCCAGAAGAAGGCGTTACTAGAAAAAGTCCTGCGAAGTCCACAGTTCCATCAAAGCTTAGCTAGTCTGACGATGGCAATCCGAGACGGCGGCTTACCTAGCATCGCTGATGCGCTCTCCGTCCCGGTTGAGAACGGCGGGTATATCAAAGGAAGCCAGGTGCCTTTAGGCGGCGGGGAGGCGGTGGAGGCGTTTGTGGAAGGTGTTAAGAAGAGTGTGCAGAAGAAGTAAATAGGCTTACCCCCGACTGCTGGGATTTATAAATAACGGTAGGCACTCGTACATCACGGGCGTATAGATAGGTAATAATCTATTATTCAACGGCCCTTTAACTTTTTGTCTTGTGATTGGATGTAGGAGATGATATTTTCAATTTAGTAGATACGGGGTCAAGGTAACCCCTAAGATTCTAATGTTTTCACTTATGTGACTTTGGTATCTTGCTTCATCGACTAGATATCATAAGATAGCACGGAACCAGCATGGGGAAGCATAAATTTCTGCAAGTGCTCATATTAAATAAATATTTAAGTTCAGGGATCGTAAAGAATAGAATATAACCACCTCCCCTATTACATGTGCGTATCTCTCTCTCTCTCTTCTCTCTTCCCCCTTTTCTTTTTCTTTTTCTTTTTCTCTCCCTAGAGTTGCTGTTCCTAGGTAACTAACCGCCCAAGCAGCCAATTAATTTAATTTAATTTAATTATACCACCCAAACTTCCTCCTCCACGCCTCCTCCTCATCCGAAAACAACCTAGCCTGCCGGGCCTGATCGAGAATCTCCTCCTCGCTTAAGCTCCTAGTAGCCGGGGCCGCTGCCGCTGCCACGGTCGGCGTCTCGCACCCCCGCAGCCCGATGAACCGGCCGATGCGCCGCCGCTTCTCCTCCAGCGGCATGTCCGAGGCCCAGACGATGGGGCACGGGTAGTGGAAGGTCCACTGGCAGGGCGTGCGCTGGTGGTAGAAGTGCGCCAGCTCTTCGAGCTCCGCGTCCGTCAGCAGCCAGAAGTTGAGCAGCGTGTGCGGGAACGACTGGTGGATCTCGCCGGTGGTCAGCTGGACTAGGGGGGCTAGGGGCAGGGCCATCTGCCGCAGTTTCTCCCGGAAGGCGGCGTTTTGGGCTGCGCGGCGGTGCCCGAGGGCCGGGGGATGCTGGTTTTGCGTCTGGTTCTCCATTGGGGGGGATGTGGGATGTGGGAGGTGAGTGGGTTGTGTTGTTGTCGTGGTCGTGGTCGTGGTAGGGAGGCTGATAAGGTGGGCTAAATAAATAAAAGATGGCTCGAGGGAATGAAATGTGGTGATTCAGGCAATCTTATGATGATCTTGTGATTGTATTGCTTTAAAGACCTGATGGGCCTGATTTTCTTCCAGAATTGAAGTATCAAATTCCTGTATATTTTTGAAGTGACTACGATCTCTGCGATATTGACGAGATGAGCTAGGCTCTTTAATGAGTGAATAGTGCTAGCAAAAGCAATGATAATATGATAAATAATAATAATAATGATAGTAACAAAATGAGAAGGCTCGTATAAAAGATTTGCTCTTCTTCGCTTCTTTCTTTATTTTCAGTTATTCTAATCGGCCTTCGACGATTGTGTCTAGCCGCCAGCAGCTATGGGCGAAAGGTAAGTTTTATATGATGAAACGGTAGGAGAGAAACGAGCACTTGAGGGTTTGGTCAACTACGCAGCTGCTGGGATGAAGTCGCAGGAGTCTCCTCATAGGTTCGAGGGGGGCTGTCGTTTCTTCTTGTATGTACGAAGATGGCTACCCAGTTCTTTGTCAAGTGCTCGACGCTTCTGAGTGTCGCACTTCGGACGATTACTTCTTTGTTTGTTAGTGCCGCCATGTGTCTAAACGGAGCTTTGTCTAACCACGTTCGAAGTCTTTCATATCCGAACAGCACCTAAAGGCGTATTAAAGATGTAAATAGTTCCTCTATGGACGGATTTAAAACTAATCTGTTGATTTCTTCCACCCATAACCGCCATTGTGTCAGCTGACTGCCCCTAAGTGTAACCAAACAAAACCTGCTACTATTTTTGACTCTTCTTAGATGGTCCAATCTTCTGTGCCCTTCTTCCCTCTAGAATCCCTTCCAGGCAAGCTTGGCTATGTGGTCCGCCTTCTTCCTGCTTTGCTTAACAAAACCCATGGCTTTCATCTCGGCTAAAGCGCGATAGAACAAAACAAGTGCAGACTGCTCGTCGAGTCCATCTTCGTTCTCTTCACCGACAACTCCATAATAAGCAGACCAGAGATCGGCGACGTTGACAAGAGAGCCGGTCTCAACATAGAGTTGATATAATATGGCAGCTGTAGGGAGCGACGGCATAATGCGGTCCTCCTTTGTCTCGCAACAAGAACAATTGAGATAGTCGTGGGGGCGCGACAATGCCCGCTCAACAACCCTTCTTGGTTGCGGAATAAATACATCTCTGTAAGGGGATTTTGAATCAAAGAACCAGAGCTCATTGAAGACTAGGTCCTTTGCACTATCGCTGTGGAGTTTCTCCTTTAGATGCTCAACAAGGCCATCCATTAGACTGGTATAGGCCTTGTCTTCATCCGTGAGAGTTGCTGCATCTTCGCTGAGCTGGACTTTTTGAGCAATAACGGTTGTTCTTAAAACCTTGGTCTGTCCGCTGTACTTGCTTCGGAGAACATTCCCTTGTTCTTCGGCATTCGCCTGCAGGTCTTTTACGCTGGATAATAAGTTGGTAAAATATGAGACTGACTCCTCAGCTTCATTAGTCCAAGGATCTAAGCCCAGGTTGATGTCCCCATTTTCAATATCGGACAATATCTGACTTAGAAATGTGATACTGTCTGCAGGTTGCATCCGCTTTGTTGATTCTGAAAACTGGGCGATTTGTTCCGAGTCAATTCCGCGAGCCAGCGCATCTAGATAAAGCGTAGTGAAATCATGAGACAAAACGTTACTAGCGGTCAATATCTTTAGTTTACGCAGAAGATTCAATGACCACCGACGGAAGTCTCTCAGGGAATCTTTTAGAAGTGCTCGAAGGTGCTGGTCGTCGTCGAGAAGCAATCTCGCCTGCTGTATTTCACCCATTTTAATAACTGCCTCTACATGTCGACGAAATGATGGTAGATATCGCATTGCTTCTATATGTGCATCCTGAAATATATCGGCATCTATGTCATCAGATAAGAAGACCGTCAAAGGATTTGCGTAAAAGTGACACATGTAAACATACTGAAAGTATTAGTATTCTAAACTTCTTTGGCATGTATGCGACTTACTTTTAATGAGCACGCAAATACTGGAATACTCGACACTTGATCCCGTTGGCGCTCCAGAAGGTCGTAGACGAGGGAAGAACCTAATCGTAGTGAAACGTCTGAATGTGCAATAGCAGCCTTGAATATCCTCTCAATAATCGATGTTGACTGCTCGACGTCAAATTGATCCCCGTAGAGACACTGGCAGGTAGACTTTAGGAGTCGTGCTTGGAATAGCTCTACTGAGGTAGCCACTCCGAAGAGTAGAGAGAATGGGATTCGGTCAAGCCATGAGCTGAAAGTTAAGTTAGTCGTCGGGCGTGAATAATGATAAGCCCACCAACCTGAAGAGTGAGATGAGATCAGACAGCAGACCGCTTTCAAAGGCCTCACTATCTTGAAAGGCGATGATGATATGGCGACGGGGGCTGGTTTTGAGATGAGCATAGAGAGCCTCGAGATCATAGTTTAGATATTTACGCCCCTGGATTATGAGTTAGAAATAAGTTGCACTTGGGGTTAATTTGAAGGTTGGTTTACATCTTTGCCCGTAGATAACTCCAGGTCGTTCTCATCATCTGTCTCTCTTGCCGTTACATTATGTATAATCTTTTTCAAGGCAGCCTTCAGATTAGATGCATCGCCGGATCTTAGGCGAACCACTTTTGCATCTACTTTGACGCTTAGAGCTTCTGAAAGTTGCTCAAATAGGAGATCCTGGGAAGCTAAATTTGGGCCGGTGATAATGAAGGCAGAAGGGATCTTGCCCGTGGATGCATGATTGGGAACTGTCTGTAGAAATGAGGTGACCTGGTCTAATGTAGACTGGTTTGTCATTCGCAGGATACGCTATATTAAATTGTGAGCTCTCATTATTTAGCGTCGTATACGATATGTAGTAACTAACTTGGATCCTCTCATCAATTTGAGACCAAGACGTCTCAAATAATTGTTGACGGAGGCGAACACAACGCTCATTCTCGGAGCCACCAAAAAGGGGCTGGAAAGTTAGTGAAGCATCTGATTCCTGTGCTTTTGCCTTGTTTTGTTGATTTGAGACCTTCCTCCTTTTCGCAGGTCTACTTGCACCGTCGACTCCGTCTAAAGGGTCAAAGATGTAGGCAGCCTAAGTCTTATTAGCGTTAAGTCCGGGTATATCGGTATAAGTATTATTACCTGGTGCTGTTTCTCTTCATAAATTTCTCGTAGAGGTTCGTCAATGGCCATGATTAGATATGAGTCTTGAGGCTTAATAGGAGGTAGCGATGTAAGTTCGGTACGCGTCTTGAGACTTATAAGTGGACGTGATCGTGCAGCGCTGATGGACAGGGTCCTATTTTAGCGTGGCCTAATCCCTACCACCCTTAAATCATCCCCTGTACTTCCTGACTTCGTACCAGCCGTAATAATTCTAGGCGGGGCTGACGGGACTAGGGACGCGCTAGACCGGCCGGCAGCGGTGATATCACCTTATCAACCTTAAATTTTTGTAAAAAATAGAAAAAAGATTCCTATCTTTAGCAGCATCTTGCCGCTCACTTATATCGTCAAGTACGACACAACATATAACCACGTTCCCCTGTCATGCCTCCGAGAACTGCTATAGTCGAAAACTTTATATGCAGGTCATGTTTATCGACTTTGCGGAAGCGAACGCCCGCGGCGCAATGGGCTTTACGGCACTCTTCGCAAGCTGCGCAACCCCTCGCCTCAGCACCGTCGTCCCGCCTATCACACGAACAAGAACTCGAACGTCAGAAGACTCTGGAAGCTCTGGGCCTTGTAAAAGAGGATAAAAATGCCCGAGTGTCGGTTCATTACTTCGAACAAGGGAAGGGTGGGAGTTTGCGCCGCTTGCGAGATGAGGATGAATTCGGCCAGTCGCTGATGGACCCGGACGGTCAAACTGAAGGCCGCTTAAAGGAACTGGAGCAAGAGCTGGAACAAGCAACCCAGTTTACCAAAATAGTCGAAGAGATTTGGGGGAAACAAGGGGCCGAGAAGTTACGAAAACGAATTGCGACTCAGGACGACTCTTCACCTAAGCCTGCATTGCTATTACCTGAGGAGGACTGGCCCGCGCCAGACCGTACGTATATCGTCCAACTGAACAATATGATAAAGACTGTCGGTAGGAAAGTTCATGGTCTTAGTCTTAAGCGAATCAACTCGTTATGGAAGTATTACTCTGCAGCGCGCATTGCTTTATCCAAGAGGTGGGGATCAGTCCATGAGGACATATGGGATCTACTCTGGCAAATTCTTGCTGCGGACCATGCGAATAATCCCAACCGCATGTCACACATCCACGTTCTAGTTAAGGATATGCAGAAGGCTGGTGTGAGCCTGCGTGACGACCAACAACTCCTTGCCATCGAGGCCTCTTTTATAAGCGGCTTTAGGGAAGATGCGATCACAACCCATAAAAAGCTTGTCACTACACTTGGAGCTAATCCAGAGACTTTTGCGGAATTTTGGCAGCTTGGGCTACGAATGTATTGCCTAATGGGCGATGTAGCTCGAGCCGAGCGGGTTGCTAGCACGCTGCTCGAGTCTCCCCACAACAAAGATCCTCGATATCTACTACCGTTCATTCGACTGTGTGCCGGGAATCCTGCTACGGCAGAAAAAGGATTCAAAATATATCAACAACTAAGGTCCACACTGGGTGACTCGATTACCATCGACGACTACGACCAGATTATTTCATACTTTCTTGCTTCGAACGAGACAGAATTCGCATTTTACATCTTCGTCGAAATGATGACCTCGAACACTATAGACCTACGTGGAGTTCACAGAGTGCCTCCCAGTATCGCCAATCCCTTTTTTTACGGCAAATGGCTAAAGCGGTTAATAGGGGCAGGCGATCTGCAAGGTGCTTACAATGTCCTGCTGCATATGAAGTCTAAGGGCGTCATGCCTCATGCGATCGTAGTCAATGGTTTAATTGGTGCGTGGTTAAGGTCGAGTACCGCTGATAACATACAAAAAGCCGAGGACGTTGCCTGGGCTATGATTAATACCCGAATGCAGTTTTTAGGCATTAGAAAAGACATGCGAAACCTTGCTACGTATGTCAGGTTGAGACAATATGGAGAGGGCTGGCCCAGAGCGAACCTGGAAACCTTCTCACTGCTAGCAGAAAACTATAAAGATCGTGGCCTCCATGCCAAGATGGAAGAACTCTGGGGTGCTTTTAGGAGTGCAGAGATTGCGCCCGATTCATTCATATTAAACCAGTTGCTCTTCTCTTATCTACAAGATGGGCAAGGGAAACGCGTCGCCTCTCTCTCGCGCGATTTGACCGAACACTATCAAATTAAGCCGGACTCATGGACTTTTATGGTCCTTTGGCAGGCATTACCGATCAACCGCCTCGTCCAGTTACCGCCAGGACAAATTCCTGAAGAAATATCGAGGACAAGGTCCCTCTTTGCCGAACTGGTTAAGTCAGCCCACATCTTTGCTACAAATGGGATCGATGTCAAGCTAGCCAGGTACATTCTGCACTCATTTCGTAAACTTGACGACAAGATTGGCCTTCTCCTAGCGTATCGAGCGTTGAGGCAGATATTTAATTTCACGCCCCCGGAAATCATAATTCTGGAGCTACAGGTAGGATCGATGGATATCGAAAGGACCGGGAAGGGTAAAGGCGGCCTCCGATTGATGCACGCCGGGAGGCAGGTCGAGACCTATCTGAAACGAAGACATCAGGAACTCATCGCGTCTGGAGAGCTTCGCGCAGGCGTCAACCTACCGGACGATGTGAAGAGGGAAGAATTAGGCAATTTCCTCGATCAATTCATACAAAACCAAATTGCGGTTCTAGAAGATCCGAATACTGAGGAGTACATCACACAGGCAGCTATAGAGATGGGATTGCAAAACGAGGCACCAAGCCCTGAAGCATTGCCGGATATATGATCCTGTACATCTGATATAACAGATATTCACAAGTTCTGTATAAAACACTCGACGATAGTGCACATTAGCTATCCACCTCCTACATACTCATGATAACTGTATGACTAGATAGCATCACTGGCATATATATACCCTATTTATTCTTATATTCTTACTACAATGCTTTCATGTAAGTGTTTTCGTAGACATTCGCTGGGAATTCACAACCGAGAGCTTGGTATTATATGACTTGAGCATCTTTTATTAGGGAAAACCTATTGTCTTGCCCTAATTCTTAGGAGTAATTTAATAAATATGAGTGAAGTAATTCCTTTGGAAATCTTGAGTGAGGTATAGACACCGTATAGTAGGCATATATGTACATACACTAATCTATCAATCTTATGCAGACACCCACGATTTTCCCACCAAAACTCATCAACTTTACAATACAATTACATAGCGAAAAAAAATAGATAAAAATATAAACCTAACGTTTTTATGAATATAATTGATTATATTTAATTCTTATATCTTTTTTTATTTAACTAGAGTATATTTGCACCTTTTATTATGAAGTAAAATTAAGAAAAATATTTCCCCCACCAAAAAGTTTAACTTTTTGGTGGAACAATTACTTTTCTTAACTTTACATAGATTTAATTCTATCATTATACCTAATAACGCGTAATGACTTATATAAACAGCTTATTTAATTAAAGCTTTAATTTAATTTAAAGACGTTATATTTTTATCTATTTCCTTCGCTATGTAATTGTATTGTAAAGTTGGTGAGTTTTGGTGGGAAAACAATGGGTGTCTGCATAAGACTGATAGATCATTGTAGTAGATACATCCTATGAGTAGATAAGAGATAAGGCTCAGTTGAATGTTAACCCGGCAGCCTGGCAGCCCGGATGGAAATGGTCAGACAGAAAGCCCTAGCGGGGGGCAGTTTTCGGAGTGGGTCCAGCACACATTCGGATGTCGAAAAAAACAATTAACCGAAATTCCACCCAAGGGTCAAACTTACTGTGACTTTTTTCTGCTTTTCAGAATACCCTCATCAATCTCCATCAACCAACAACATCGGCTTTAAAAATCCTAACTTCACAAATAAGAAGACATGGGAGCCAGCAGACAGAAGAAGGCGGAATACGTACGTCGCAATTATTTGCTCACCTCAATGGCTTATTTTGTTTTATTTAGTAACTAAGAAGTAATTATTGACAATCGGTTGCGCATAGTTCCCCAAGCTCAAGGGCTTGCTCGAGGAGTACCGCTCTGTTTTCCTCGTCACCGTCGACAATGTCAGCTCGCAGCAGATGCACGAGATCCGACAGTCTCTCCGCGGAGAGGCTGTCGTCCTGATGGGAAAGAACACCATGGTGAGTCGAAAGCTGTAAATCGTTCTTATGTTTAGCCAACTCTTGGGACTAATCGCGATAATTCAGGTTCGCCGTGCCCTCAAGACCTTCATTAACGACACCCCCGAGTACGAGCGTCTCCTCCCCCACGTCAAGGGCAACATCGGTTTCGTCTTCACCAACGGTGACCTCAAGACTGTCCGTGACAAGATCTTGTCCAACAAGGTCGCTGCCCCCGCTCGTGCTGGTGCCGTTGCGCCGGCTGACGTCTGGGTCCCCGCTGGCAACACTGGTATGGAACCCGGCAAGACCTCTTTCTTCCAGGCTCTCGGTGTCCCCACCAAGATTGCCCGTGGTACCATCGAAATCACGACCGACTTGAAGCTCGTCGAGTCCGGTAGCAAGGTCGGTCCCTCTGAGGCCACCCTGCTCAACATGCTCAACATCTCGCCCTTCACCTACGGTCTGGGTATCTCGCAGGTCTACGACCAGGGCAACACCTTCCCCCCCAGCGTTCTCGATATCGGCGAGGAACAGCTCCTTCAGACCTTCACGAGCGCGATTACCACCATCGCCGCTCTGTCGCTCGCCTTGAACTTCCCTACCCTCCCCTCCGTCATCCACTCTCTCGTCAACAGCTACAAGAAGGTCCTCGCCGTCGCCGTCGAGACCGACTACAGCTGGCCCGAGATCGAGCAGCTCAAGGACCGCATCGCCAACCCCGATGCTTACGCCGCCGCTGCCCCGGCTGCTGCCGCCGAGACTTCGGGTACTGCCGCCGCCGCCGAGGAGGAGAAGAAGAAGGAGGAGTCCGAGGAGGAATCTGGTGATGAGGGTTTCGGTGGTCTCTTGTACGTTCCTTCTAACTCACAGGCCCACAACTTTACGATCTTGCTAACACATCTTTTCGCAGTGACTAAATTTCATGACATGATCGCGGTGTTAACGGATTGGCATCAAACTGGGCTTCGGTTGGGTTTGCGAGATCTAGACGTGCGAAAATCGACGGTACATAGGTCTATAACGGTCAATTGAGACACGTTGCAGAAGAGTCAGATGCGTCTGTTTACTTGTGATATGATGGTTGCATTGCCACGTATAGAGCTTTGCTTCCTCCTAAATGGTAAGTTCGAATCCTATTTTCAATTCCAATCTTTCTGCGTGTTCTATGATTATATAAATGATATCAAGAGCTTTTTAACCCTGAATATTTCTTGATGACACACATCACCACCCATATGAGACACTTTCCCCCAAACCCGTTTTATTCGTACATATGGTACAAAGAGTTGAGCGCTGACTCGCTTCCAGAAATGCAGACTACCTTTCCTGAACCGTAAAATCATATGGCCTTCTCGCCGTATTTTGCCTATGTGTGTAGACTGGCTGCTACTTCGTATCGTATCGTATCGTATGGGTATCTTGTCGTAACGCCGTAGCTCTTGATCGCCCTCTGCCTCTCCTGATGCTCGTTATTAATTAGGCACACCCGCTATTTTGCAATATCTCCCTCGCAACGGCAATAGCAGCTTCGGGTAAATTAGCCAAGCGCGCTACCTTCAACGCGTGACTTTTCCGGTTAACGCCCTTTCGTAACTTATGCACGTAGACGAAGCCTCCCGCTCCATCCTCTTCAACATCAGTACAGTACGTATCCACGGCGCCTCCCTGCGCAACCATCATCCCCCGCTCGGCAGCCAGATCCGCCAGCCCGTGGAAATGCGTAGCGAACAGGGCCCGGCTCCGATTCACCGTAGCCAGATGGTACAGCGCGGCAAACGCCACCGCCGTGCCGTCCTCGGGCGTCGTGCCCCGGCCCACCTCGTCCATGATGACGAGGGATCGAGGGGTCGCTAGGCGGAGTATGGCGGCCGTTTCGAGCATCTCGACCATGAAAGTGCTCTGGTCGGCGGATAGGTCGTCGGCGGACCCGACGCGCGAGAATACGGCGTCGGTGATGCCGAGGCTGGCGTGGACGGCGGGTACGAAACTACCGGCTTGGGCGAGGATGGAGATTAGCGCGTTTTGGCGGAGGTAGGTGCTTTTGCCGCCCATGTTGGGACCGGTTATTAGGAGGAGGCGGCCGTGGCGGTCGTGGGTTTGGTGTTGTTGTTGTTGAGGGGGGTTATCGGGAGTGTCGGGGGAGGGTATACCGCCGAGACAGCAGTCATTCTTGGTAAAAGAGCGGCCTTGCTCGCGGAGACCGGCTTCGACGGTGGGATGTCGACCGCCGAGGACGATGTGCTCGCTACTAGGAGAAGCAGCATCGACGTCGTGGAGTACCGGGCGCGTCCAGCCGTGCTCGGCGGCTAGACGGGCGAAGGAGGCGGCGACGTCGAGCTCGTCGAGCGCGGAGGCGTTGCGCCGTAGTTTAACGAGGTTGGCGACTACGAGGGCGCGCAGCTCGGCTAGCAGCCGCTGCTCTTCGACGGTGACTTCGTAGCGCGTCTGGTGGATGCGTCGCCCGAGCGTCGTCCACTCGGGGGCGTGGAACGCCCGCGTGCTGCGGCTCGAGCTGACGACTATTGCCGCCGTGGCGTTATTATTACTAGTGTTATCCCCGCTCTCGCCGTCTTTGTCTTTGCTGTCGATGATCTTCCGCATGTCCCTGGCGCCCTTGACGTGGCAGACGTGTCCGAGGGTAGGCGTCCAGCGCAGGGTTAGGCTGGCGGCGCCGTAGCGGGCGCGCAGTTCTTCGGCGAGCTCGGATTTCTCGTGCTGCAGGGATGATAGCCTGGCGTGGAGCTCGCGTAGGCCGGGACTAGCTTCGGGCTTGCAGACGAAGGTTACGTTGTCCTCCGAGTAGGCGTCTCTTATCGAGGGGCTCTGCTTTCTCTTTTTCATAGCCATAGCCATAGCCCCCTTGGGTAGGGAGGAGGCGTCTCCTGTCGTACCCTCGGCGGCGACGACGTCTTCGGCTAGAGTCAGGAGTTGGCTTGTTTCGCTGTCTTCGTTTCTCTGTTGCTGGACTAGTCCTTCCTCGTCGATGGACGTCTTGATGCGGTCGGCGAGGTGGGCCGGCTCTTCGAGTGTGATGCGCGAAAGGAGAGACGTGAAGCAACCAGCAGCTCCTTTGCTCTTAGCCCGTGAACTCTTTTTAGTGGATGCCCCTTTCGAAGATTCCAGGAGGGAGACGATATCCTGTGTAGCCCGTATAGTGTTGCCGAGAGCAATAAGATCGTCCGGATCTCCACGACCAACCGCAAATTTCTGAACCAAGCGCTGCGAGTCGTGGCTGCGCCTTAGCAGCATGACCATCTCGTCGCGCAGATCCGAGTGCTGAATAAAGTGCTCGACGAGGTCTTGGCGGGCCTTTATAGTCTCGAGAGACGTCGACGGAGCGCTAAGCCAGGCGTTTAGAAGCCGAGCGCCGCCTTTGGTAACAGTTCTGCGGACGGCGTGTAGCAGGCTCCCGCGAAAGGTGCCGTCTCGGATCGTCTGCTTGATCTCGAGCGAGCGCATGGTGCTCTTGTCGATGGACATGACGGACATGTTGTCGTAGCGCAACGGCGGCTGCAACTTCATGCTTAGGCCTTGCAGGCGGTCCCGCACGTACTGCAGGAGTAAGCTCCCGGCGCGGACTTCGTCCGGACTGAAGTCCTGCGCTGTTTGTGTCGAGATGTCGGATTCTAGCATCGGGCTCCATTCCGACAGTGGTAGAAACTGGGTATGCGGCGAGAAGGTGACCAAGTGTTTGTCCTCTGCTAGTACGCTGAAGAGCTTGTGGTCCCGTTGCGATTCGAGGACCTGGTCTACGACCACCTCTCTCGGACCAACACGCGAGAGGATAGACGCCAGTGAAGTAACCGTCGTAGACTGTGTATAAAACTGCCCCGTAGAGACGTCTATCCAGGCCAATCCTATCGGCGCAGCAGCAGCGCCGGCTTGTAGCGGTGTTAAGTGTCCTAGATCTATACCCTTGATATTACTACCAGGTCCAGAAATATCAGCCTGTTGCTTCTGATGGTCGGCATGAATCGCCATGACATAATTATTAGCATAGGGGTCGATGAAGTTTTCATCGATCAACGTGCCGGGCGTAATAACGCGTGTGACCCTCCGATCGTGCATCAGCCCGTTCGACTTGATCTTGTCGCCCGGGTCGTTGGGGAACTCCTCCGCGATGGCGACGTAGCAGTTCAAGTCCTGGACCAGCGTTTTCAGGAACCGGTCTAGTTGGAAGAACGGGAAGCCAGACTGGAAAGCCGTCAGAGTTATGCTCGTTGATTAGACAGTACGTATATAAATAGTGATATAATAGAAAGTAATAATTACCATCGGCACCGGCCCAGCATTCGTCTTCTTCTGCGCAACCTTCAAATTCAACAGCGGCCCATACTCCTCCGCCTGCTCAAAATACAACTCGTAAAACCCCCCGACGCGCGTGAGCAGCACGCACCCGTCGAACCGCTGCATATTCATACGCGCCTGCAGGACCACAGTCGGATACGCAGGCCCCTCATCCAGCTCCGGGAGGGGGGCCGCGCGAGCAGCAGTAGCAGCAGCAGCAGCTTTTTTGCCCGGTGGTTTGATGGGGCCTTGCGGGAGGTCCTCTAGCTTCATCGATGATCTAGTTTTCTTGCCCCGGACCTGCTGCTGCTGGAGGCTTGTCGTAGTCGGCTTTCCAAATACATAGTAGAGTGGTTGAGTCCGGCAGCCGATCCGGCTCCGGGCGAGCGCCCAAGTCAGCCGCCGGCACGATGGACTATTCATATGGTCCAGAATATTGACAACAATTAAGTTCGACTTATAATCCCTTTTTACAAAAAAATTCTTTTCCTTTTGGTTTGATTTCGTCGAATTTTTATCGTGTGTTCTTCAGTTTGTAAGCGTTGGGGATTCGGGAGGCAACATTTATGAGATGTGATGGAATCCCGCATACTGTGGGCTTTCCGCTGTTTTTGGTTGCATTATACAGTTTCTATGGCACCTCATAGAAGAATGCACACTGTGTATCCCGACTATAAAATCGACTAAATTAGAGTTAAGAGACAAGTTCATTATTTCTACTAACTAGGTCACTTTAAAAAGTATTCAAGCATCATATCCGAGCTAGTCAATTTGATGAAACTCGTATAGGAAACCCGCTATTCCTTAGCATTTTGTAACCCTTTTTTTTATCATACTTCAAACCCAGTAGCTGGTAGATCCTACCATGTAATCCTCCTTCCGGGACGAAGCAATATAGCCATTAACGAACTAGACTAAACAACTAGCATATTTAGCGACGTAATTACAACTGCAGTCTGTACGTCGCAACTTCGAAGGGGTTAAGGGTAATCGAGAATGCGCCATCCTTATTCAACTTAATTTCTTCCCCGTCGTCCTCCAAGATATTCGTCTTGAACACCTTTTTAACATCCCAAGTCGTCTTAACCGTCGCCGTGCTACGACCGCCAAGACTGTCGTAAATCCGGATGATAACGCTTTGTCCCTTACGACGTGGAAGCGAAGCGTCGTGAGATACGTCTTCGTCATCCTCCCCACGCTTTACGCAGTCTAGGATTAGGGATTCATCGCCCGTTAGCTTAACCGGGTATTCCGTAAGCGCAGAGATATCCGACGTCTTAGGTGCTGAGAGGACCTTTATCGGGTGGTTGAAGTTATATCCAGTGCGGACGGTTGTCGCACCTAATCCGCCCTGATGGGGTAGGATGGCCCAGCGGATTGTATGCTTTCCCATATCTGCGTGCGCATCAGGAGCCTTCGGAGACCGCAAGAGAGATAGGCGCATAAGGCTTCCACAAGTAGCGAAGCCGTATTTGCTGTCGTTGAGGATCGAGACACCGTAACCATGCTCCGACAAGTCGGCGAACTTGTGGCAGCACACCTCGAATTTCGCCATGTCCCAGGTAGTATTGTAATGAGTAGGTCGCTTAACAATGCCGTACTGGGTCTCGTAAGAGGCTTCGGTATTCCTAATATCCACAGGGAATTCAACCTTTAGGAACTTCATGGTCTCGTGCCAGTCCACGTGGGCAGTGCATTCAACAAACGACTGCTGGCCGTCAAGGGCGGCAGACAGGCTTAGGATCGTCTGGATGGAGCTGTTTTCACTAATCCTTGCTTCCGTCAAGACGCTGACCCGATGTTCCTTGTCTTCGAAGATTCTAGTCTTGCCATAGGGTACTACTTTGCGAGTATCAAGATGGTATACCTCGACGTCCCACGCCTGCCAGTAAAGTGGTTTATCATCGAAGATGACGAGTTGATTGGCTTTTTCTCCCTTTGAGACGATTTCGCGCTCCGCCTTGCGATCGAATAGTGAGGTTATTGTACCATCCTCGACTTGTACTGTCAGTTGATCGTTCTCTAGGACGAAGACACCATCCCTGATTTCCTTAACGCTAACGGCTTTGGTTGCTCCTGCCTTGAACGGCTTGATGTTGATGAGGTTCTCAGAACCACAGGCGACACCGACTTCGGTCTTGGAAAGCTCAACGACTTCCTTTCTGTGCCAGGGGAGAGTATTGAGGGCGACAATTCTACCACCAGACCCAGCGGGCCCTGCCTCGGTAACACCGAAGAGTTGGTAGATGTCTTTATATATAGCCTTGCCTAGCTGGAACACTCTAGCATATAACTGATCTAGGTTAGCATACTGCGTTTTTCTAATGCTTTTGAACCAACTTACCTCATCTGAGTCATCATAGCACATCTCAATGGCACTCCCCGGAAGACAATCGTGGAACTGACAAAGAAGCGTTGCTTCCCACATTTCATCGAACTCAGCCTTTGGATATTTGTAAGATTTGAACTTTAGAGATGCGATAGTGGCTAATAATTCAAGTTCTCGTAACATAAACTCCGACTTTCGGTTGTTACGCTTGTTGTTCGCTTGGGTTGTGTATGTACCGCGGTGAAGTTCGAAGTAGAGCTCACCGTACCAGGTGACTAAGGTGTCGCCCTTCTCCTCGAGCTTGTCGAAGAAGTCATCCACGGAGTTTCCTAGGTGCACTCTAGGCAAACGGCCAACCTGGTCGCTGATACCACGGCAACGTCGCAGCTTCTCTATGTGCTGCCAGGTCGGGCCGCCACCACCGTCGCCTTTGCCGAAGACCAATAGCGATGTGCTATCTTGATCCATTGACTTGTGTTGGGAGACACTGCGCTTAACATCCCCAAATTCGGCTTCCGAGGTGTAGGTCTCCGCTGGCGGCATGTGGCATATTACCTGACTTCCGTCGAGGGCGACCCAGTTGAAAGTAGTATGGGGGAAATTATTGATATTGTTCCAGCTAAGCTTCTGCGTGAGGAAACGGTTCATACCAGCTAGCCGGCATACTTGAGGAAGTTGGCTCGAATACCCAAAGGTATCTGGAAGCCAGAATGTCCGGCAGCGCTCTCCGAAATTGCTCTCGAAAAACCTCTGACCGTATAAAAATTGACGGACAAGAGACTCGCCGCTCGGCAGGTTAGTGTCGTGCTCAACCCAACTACCACCAATTGGATGGAACCGACGTTCCTTGACCTTTTGCTTGACCCGATCAAAAGCATAGGGGTATAAGGATTTTAACCACTTATACTGTTGTGCTTGGGAACAAGCAAAATTCAACTCCGGGTATCGATCCATTAGGTCACATTGGTTCGACCAGGACCTCGCCACCTTTCTCTTCGTCTCGGCCCAGGGCCACAACCAACAAGTGTCGATATGGCAATGGCCAATGCCAAAGACCTGGGGATTGAGTCCGCTATCATAGACCTTAGAAGAGTCGACGTTAGACCCGAGATATTCTTGAGCAATCTTGCGGCCTTTCTTGATCGACTCTTTATCGCCGAGGACGTATGAATCGATAATACTTGTGGCGACATTCAAGGCCTTGTGCTGTTCCCACGAATCTTCGGGGAATTCCCTCGCAGCATCGCCAATGATCCAAGTGTCGATCCAGAGTTGCCGGGCATCTAGATTGACGGCACAGATATCGGCCTTGACAAGCTGGAAATATTTGTTGGGGTCTGGTGGTTGAATAGTATCACCACCAGTTGGATTGCCAAACATACTATTGCAGGCCATTTCAATGTAGATGGTGTGTTCTTTGCCATCTCTGAAAGAGTCCGGGAGGATCCACTCAACACGTTCTCCTCCGCCGGTTAGACCCTGCAATGGCTTCCCGTCTTCAGTCCAGACCATGCCTTCGCTGTTGGAGTCCCATTGGAATTCCAAGTGCTCTTTATCCCGGAGGTCGGCGGGAACACGGAGCACAACTTTGAACCAGTGTGTAGACCAAGATGGACCGAAAGCTTGGCCAACGGAGGTAGGTTTATACTCACCAGCCACGGCCTCCTCAAATGTCGGCCTTGAGAGATTCGGGGCGGGCCACGTTGAGAGCTGAACATGGGGAGGTCCGGATGCGACGCCCTCAAACATCATAGCAAGGAGGTTCCGCTTCTCCCATTGTCCCTTAGAATAGAACTGCGTGATACGCTCCTTGTAGATGTGGGATATCCGTTTGCCGACCGGGGTAGGTGCCCGGAGGGGATAATCGGTCGAAACGACCTTCGGTTTCGTAGTTTCGCCACCCATAGCAATTACCGGGACCAACTCTTGGTTTCTTGCTGATATGTCCCTGGAACAGCCAGGTAAAGGTTAGAACGCTATAGAGGATGCAAGCAGTCCTCTGAAAATAAACGAGTAGTTATCAAGTAACTTGTGTTTGTAGAAGGTTTGGCCACGATACGATGGGACCACTAATGGAAGTACTCGTACGTATAAAAGAAGGGCGGAATGGTAACACAACGAGCTTTAGCTCCGCTGGTAATGAAATGTGTATGTGAATGCAATGGTGTAATTGGATAAGCTAGCTCACCAATGAAATGGAATGTATGGGATTGTGGCTAACAGCTATGTAGTTGGAGACTTGGAGTAAACAAACTTGGTGAATCGGTGAATTGGACCTCTTATGAGCTAGCTACGTAGGTAGGTTATGCACTATGTAAGGGTATAGGTAAGCTCGTTATATACTAGTGGGTGCCGAGGGTTCCTGAGACGCAGGGGCTTTCGAGGCCGCTAAGGCACGGAGGCATAGGGGAACAGCTGACAATGGGCAGCTGCTTGGAGTCTTTGCGGGGAAACGCCTTGGCATCCCCAAAAGCGAGAGCCTCGAGGACAAATCATCGAACGTAGGTACGCACGGCCCGCACTTACCCCATTGTAATTCACCGCTATCAGCCTTATTACGTATGTATTTAGGGTAGCTGATCTAGGTAGGTAGGTGAGTCGAGACTAATATTAAGTTGAATCGAGTTGAATTCTGCAAGATGGATATGAGTTAATATAATTGAATAGGTCAGGAGAGACGAGATATTACGATAGGGTTGAATAGGTTGGTCAATAGGACAGCAATCGGATATTGTAGGAAATGGAAAAGTAAAAAAATGACATGCTTAAATAGAATGTGAAGGTCGGCTGAGATTATGAGATACCATAATCTGTAGGACAGATATAATTAGGTGCCTACCTCGTATCATAAAGAGACATTCGGCAGTTACGAAACTAAGGTAAGAACATCTCGATATCATAGAAAAAGTAAGTACTTATAAGGTTGCACAACAGTCCGATACAAATCTTGTCAGACACGCACGTGTGGCCAAGCGGTCGTATAAGGGGCAACTATATCGTGTGCATTGATCACAAGGGAAATTAAACCAACTATTTCACTACAATAATATATCGATAAACTTTACAACGATGTTTAGACTCAGTATTGCAAATGCGTATATTGCAAATGCGTAGGTTACCTCCTTATTCCACCTGGATTACCAATACATCGAATCTAAAGGAATAGAAGCAATAAGGCGTGTTGGATGGATACTGTCAATATTGACATCAAGTCATGTTGTATTATGATACATCTACTTAACGAGTAATCGAGCAATTAGAGGTAGCCGCCTATACGTCTAGTCTCGCTGATCCCTTTCAGACCATTCTTCCTGGGGACATTGCCTCCCCCATTGCTTTTCCCAAACCAACCCGGGATGAATATACATGCCAATATAGACGCGAAGAGGAACACGGACTACGGTCGAATTATAAGTAGTACTAAGGTGAAATCTTTGGTATCATTGGTCCGAAGCAGTCGTTAATCGCGATGCGTTTCCCGTAGAAATAAAATGGCCGGCCCTGCAAGTGTACAGAGAAGAAAATTATGCAAGAATGAAGCTGCAGGTATTCTTGTTGTCATTAAGCAAGATTTAATGCCATAAGCATAGCCATTAGAACGCATCTTCCAGAGGGCAGTCGATGCTGTCATGCCCGTCTCTCTCACATAAAGCACACCACTTCTCCGGATCTACCACACCGCTATCCTTGCCGGCCAAGGGCCCTAAGTCTTGCGGGTTAGGGAGGATTTTAACAGCAGCCGGAGGAGGGGGAGACGCGATAACTGCCTTGGGCTTCATTGGGGATAAGGGACGAGGTGTATCGTCTTCATTAACACTGGTGGGAACCGACAGGCTCTTAAAGCTCTCTTGGGACTTGTCGGATGCTTGGTCACCCGCTGTGGTCTTGCTTTGCTCGTTCTGGGATCCGAACATGTTAGTGCATGTAAGAATATCGTGGCCGCCAGTCTCGCAAATCTCGCACCAGAGCGTGCTAGTCTCAGTAACGGATGAATATGCATCACTCTCGGGCATTGTGTCAAGAGTTTTCACACGCTTGTGAGCAGCGTCAGGTGAGCGTGTGTCGCGCGAGGGGACTACAGTCCCCTTCGAATCGCGATACGACGATCGGTTAGCGCTGCTGATAGTAGTGGAGCTAGGACGATTCATTGACGCACCGGCGCGTCTGAGAGTCTCGATCTCGCGCTCGAGCTCCTCTTCTCGGTGGCTCTTGTTGTCGATGAGACCGCGCAATTCGAATACTTCTCGCTCCAATTTTTCCCTTGTCGAGCGGCTATCGAGCGAATTTGGCCGGGAATTGACCAGGGAATTATTGCGCTGTGGCTGCGTAGGCGTCTTTTCCGAAGAATCCGAGGCGGGAATAGAGTCCCTACTGAGGGAATGGATAATAGCCTTGAGACCTCTAATCTCATCTTCCTTTTGTTCTAGCTCCTTAGACATAGATAACTTATCCTCTCCGCTGTTACCCCCATTCAAGGCAGCGGCGGCTTTCTCACGCTCTCTTCGTAATTCTGTCCTTGTCCTTTCGACCTCGCCTCGTAAGAACTCAACTTCGCCACGTGCTTCCGCTTCTCCTCGACGAGCATCTTCTAAGCCTTCCTCAAGCTCTTGGACTAGCTCTTCGAGCTGCTTAAGCTGGCGCGCGACGCTATCGACATCCTCGTGTCGCTCCTGTGCTTCGCGGAGCTCTTGCTCCAACTCGCGGATTTTAGCATCGTAAACCCTCTGAGTTTCAGTGCTGGCCATCTCAAGAGTATCGATAGTGCTGCGAAAATCCGCTCGATGTGCATCAAACTCGGCAGTAAGTGTGGCAATTTTCTCATTCTTCTCTCTAAGCATCATTCGAAGCTGCGAACTGTCCTTATCGTCAAGACTACCTGCTCTCATCCTTCCGGTATCCGACTGATCTATTAGCATCGTAAGCTCGGATAGACTACTCTCCATTTCAGCCAGAGTAGATGCTTGATCCTTCAATTGTCGGTCTCGGTCTTCGAGTTGGGCTCTGAGTCGTTCAATTTCCTCCTCGTTTACGTGAGCAGCCCGTGATGCGGGGCGCTTAAATAGTGACGATGCCGACCCGATGCTCCCGTTGGTCTTAGGATGCAAGCCCACAGGCGTAGTTTCTTCCTCGTCGTAACTGAAAATCGGCCCCATAGCCGACGCGCTTCTAGGGAGTATGCTTGGCTTCTTATCCAGTCTCAACGTCTTGTTTGGATCCCCAGGAACGCCTCGTATACTTGCTCCCAACTTAGGGACAGTAGGGGTTCCATAGCGAGAGGGCGCCCTCGGGCCTGGTGTCGCTGTCATCGGTCGGGGCGCCGGAGTTAATGTTAACTTGCGAATAGGCGATTCTGGACGTGGTAAGGATGGTCTATTTCGTTTGCCTTGGGGGCTTGGAGCTCTGGCTGGGCCGAGAGACTTGCTAAAGCTCGGTATTGAGGGAGTCGGGGGTGTATAGTTCGTGGCATTCTGACCGGCGACCCTTAATCCAGGGGTGGGAGGAAGGGAACTTGAAGGCGTAGGGGGCGAGTCGCGTTGCTTAAAGAGTTTATGAATGGGTACAAAAATGCCAGAGCCAGGAGTCGAAGTAACAAAGTAGGATATACTACAAGAGGTATTGGTAAGTAAGAAACAGATCAATACGGAACGAAATAAAATAGAATAAACGCAAGTGCGGATAGATAAGACGGGTAGATAAAAGGGAATGTCAAGATTTACCCATCAACATCGCCGCTATTCTTGCCGCGTACGGCGTATTCGGGATGCAGCTCGACACCAACAAAGGTGCCTTTCCTTCCGGCAACTGAACCTACAAAGCGAACAGTTCCAGTCATATTTCCAGGAACCTCGACATTATCACCCAAGTCGAAGCCATCGCCGGCGCCCTTTCCTGGCGTAAAAGGGGGCATTTTGTTCGTTGAATCGGTGAGGACAGTATCTATGGCGTAGCTCTCGCTGTCATCAGGAATTGAGGCTAATGAGCCAGGGGTCAGTGCAGCAAATGAAGCTTTGCGCGCAAGAGCGCCCGAGCTGGGAATGAGTCTCGAATGTGCAGAATAAACGCTATTGAGGTTCGGTGTAGAAGCGGTAGCGATTCCAGATTTTCTAGGGGACCGAGACAGAGTGTGTTGTCTTTGCGGCTGCGGTAAAGAGAAAGTTGTCGAAGCCATAGTGGGCAAAGACTCCCCTTCCCACTCTTTATTACACTCCTCGGCGTGTAGTACTTCGTAGTTGTTTTTTTTTAGCCCGCTATTGATTTCTGGAGCGGGGACCTTAAGCTCTCGTCCAATCCAATTATCCCACTGGCTCCCGGTTCTCCCACTGAATCTCACTGATGGGGGGGCACTTAGGGGCACTCCTATAAAAAGCCCACTAAAACAATGGGCTGGACCGGCTGGTAGTGGGCTTCTGATAGCCGTCGCCGTCGCGTAGGAAAGAGGGAACTGATTCCAACCAATGATTCGCAGCGGAAACCTAACAAGCTTGGTGCACTAAGACCTAGAAAAGATTAGTTGCTAATAAGAGAAGAATGTACGAAAGTACAGTGGTCCATAACAACCGAGCCAAAATAATAAAATAAAATAACACATTAGGATTTGCAAATACCAGAAAGCAACCACAATTGACCGACCTGGGTTGTCCAAGATAAGTGTAATTGAAATACGAAATATAATAAAGAGTCTGACCACGCCGACAATCTCAAGACCCGGGCAATCCTTGATAGATGTATGATGGAAGCTGCAAGATCCTGAAGAAAACAAAACAAAACATATGTTTGATGATCACCGTTCAATGCGGGTTTAGCGTAGCAGTGACTCCCGGGGTTTTAGATCCGTGATGAAGACGATTCCTTGTCAAGTGGTAACGGTGACGGTAGCAGCTATGATAGCGGCAGTAGCGATAGTAATGAAAACCACTAGGTTAAAGACAAGTATTAAAGAGCAAAGCTTGCAATTACCATTTCCTACCCCAAATCTATCATGGACGCAATATGAAGCTTACATACTGCGCCCGAATTCCGTGAGGGGTTTCGGCGCCATAAAGCTGTAAACAAGAGCTAAAGCTATGCCAATAATATCTCAGGATTAACATGCGCTCGGACGGCAAGACCTATCGTTTTCGGAAGCTACTTTGACGCAGCAGTATAGCAACGCCGCTGATGCTTTTCTGCAGCATTACGCGCTGCGGCAAACGAGCATATGCAGGACGGCGTGCATCATTGGCTTATACTAGATTAGCCAGATGAAGGGTCACGAGCTTTTTTTTTATGTTTTTTTATGTTTGTTTACAATGACAACCTATCAATGATACAGTGATAACTGCCAAGAGACCTCGTCAGCTCTTACGACCTTGAGATTCATTCCGGTCAGAATTCAACATATCATTACAGCAGTAAATTAATACTCCAAAGGTTACTTACGTCCGGGTATTAATAATATGTAACAATCCGTGCTAGGATCCCTGGCTTATTAATGTATGAGATAAAGCTCAACGATCTTGCGTCACTTTTATTGGGGTCTGATTCCCAAACCATGCTAATGGGCTCGGAAGCTAATATAGCTCCAACGTGCAGTTTAAAATAGGTACCTTCTATGGCCTAGGTCGCTAAGTAAACCTACTACTATTACATTTCGAGTAAGATGGGTTATACCTATTGGGAACGATACGTTACCACTTCTTACATATAGTTTAGACATCGTCCTGAATGAATACGTGGTGTGTATTAATGTACATTGCCAGAAACAGGTTTGTCGTATTAAGATGCTCTTAATCAAAAGCACGCTTCGATATACGGCGTCAAATATGCTATACGATTTGGAAAGGGTTCCGTGTACTATCATATCTCATTAAACAAGTTCCTCTGTGTACAGGGTCCTTAACCTCGGAATCATTAAAGTTACTTGAATCGCCCCCAACCTAGAAACACAATAGCAAGTTATCAAATAACTATGGGTACTAGAAAGTAGATTATATTAGTAAGAATATCAGGTCCAAAAGGTGAATAGTTCTTACATTACTAGGAGCTTTTTGTACGAGCATGTTGCGCGATGATAAGACCTCTAACGAATTCCGATTTTCCGATTGAGTCGAAGATGATCTTGAAGCAAAGTTGACTTGACTCAGTCTTCCGCCCTTCAAGAAAACTTTACCATCCGAAAATATTGCGTTGATAACTTTCAAGTTCTGTAGCATTGAAGACTTCTCATATAACAGACGCAAGCTTACAATCCGGGAGTCCAGTGCCGCTTTGAGTGTCGGAAGTCATCCATTGGGCCTGAATGATAACGACTTGGTGGTAAAGAGTAGGTCACGCTTAACTGTTAGAGTCGTGCTCCCGCTCAATAATGTCGCTTCGTCCTAGCGAATGTGTTCCATCGTTCAATACCATAGCCTCTCGATGCCTCCTGCGTAATCGTTGCTCTTCGGCACTCTGGTCATTCACCCGAGGAACAAGTTCGGCCCCCAACGCATCATCTTGGTCGTTTTCGTTTGTCATGTCAATCTCTAAAACGACTTTAATGCGATTCGACCTGTCCCGCTTCGACTTCCTTGACTTAGTAGTCAGCTTTGCCTTCTGTAAAGCAGCGCGACCCGCCCTGGTTGTTTTCAAGTGAAAGCAAATATCACTAATCCGATTCTTTCTCCGATCCAAGTACATGGCAAAATTGTTCTGCCTTTCTTCCTCTCCGTCCCCCCACGGTTGCCTTGCCAGCCACTTCTCGACAAAACCAGCTTCGATTAATTTGTCGACGCCGTATCTGTGAACAAGCTGAGAAACCAGCAAGAGACAGCGCCGCTCACCAATGTCCCGAAGGTAGTATTCATCATACAAGGGGTCATCAAGCTTCTCGTGTTTTACATCGTCAACGGATAATTCCAGCGATCTGACCAGGGCGCTGTATGCCCTTCGAGTATTGAGCATGTTCAAGGGCTCCTGATAAGTTTCTTCTACATGCGAAATCAGGGAATTAGTCGTGCGGAATTTAGGGGATCGTCGAATACGTACTGTCTTCCATAGCAAAAGCGAGCGCTCTCAAAGCCTCCATACGTTCATCATAGTTCTCTCGAGTGATGCCCCATAAAAGGCTATATATTGTGGAGGCATCATTAACAGCCCGTCCGGCAATAATCTTCAAAGCTGTATCACGTATCGCAAAGTTGTAGTGACCGAGAAGGCTCTCTAGGGTATCTGATCTGAGCGAATCTTCAGTTTCTTGGGTGATATACTGGGTCTTTGGTGGCGTTGGTTTGATCTCAGCTTCGTCTCGATAGTGTTCTAGAATTGTTGTCATGCCGACGAGGAAGCCCACAGTAGCCAGGCCAAAACCAACGGCAACAAGCCGCTCATCTCTGAGGAAGGATGGGAGCCCCATTTTGTATGAGCTATTGAATTAGGTACCCATATCAATAGCGACCATTCGTAACTCGTAAAAGTAGCTAATGGAACAATGATAATAGGTAGTTTACACTTAAGAATTGAAAGGTTAGGTAGATTGAACAGTTCCAATGGAGCTTAAAGTCTTAATGCGCCTTATCGATAACATGACAGCATGGGTTGCCAGAAGGACGCACTGACGCAGAAGGACGTCAAAAAAGGTGGCGCACCTGGTCCCCGGGATCGACAGCCGCTGCATATACGGTGGGGCGATAAGATAAGAAGCCTAGCTGCAACGCAAAAAAAAGTCGAACTGAAAACTTATTATCTACAAGCACTCAGCGCCTCAGATCCCCACTACTACAGCGTACGGTCATCTGCGCCCAGGAGTTCTACGATGGCGGGTTCTCAGCTCAAAAGGCTAAAGGCCTCTTTGAGGGAGAAGGGCGTCATTGGCCCTCAATTATCCAAAAAACAGAAAAAGAAAAATGCACAGGATGGAAAGGCAAATAACAACCGAAGATATCAAAAAGCAGCAGAGTTGGAGGGTATTCGAGAAGCGTTCAATCCCTTTGATCTAAAACATAATGCCCGTGGCCCCAAGTTCCAAGTCACTACGAATAAGCCAGCGGCTAGCAATGCTGCTAAGGGAAGGCCTAGCGAAGCAAAGTCGCTCGGCGAGGAAAGGGTGAGTTTATATTGAGCGAGACGTTGCGCATCTTCCCAATTAACAAGCTATAGCGACGTCAAACTCTCCTTGTTGAACTTAACCGGCGCCATAAAGTAGGAGGTATACTCGATCGACGATTTGGAGAGAACGATCCGCATATGGCGCCCGAGGAGAAGATGAGAGAAAGATTCGTGAGGGAGAAGCAGATTCATAAGAGTTCCGTTTTTGACCTCGAAGATGACGAGCCTAGCGAGGGATTGACTCATCTTGGAAAGTCATTGTCGTTTGACGGCCCTGGTTTGGTAGACGACTTTGAGGAAGACGACATCTCGGCCGGATCTGACGTAGCCACCTCGGACGACGAGCATCGTGGCTCGAAACGTATGCGGCCTTTCGATAGCGAAGCCCAGAGTGACGATGGGGAAGAAGGTCAACCGGAAAGAAAAAAGTCAAAACAAGAAGTTATGAAGGAAGTCATCGCGAAGTCAAAATTCTACAAGGCCGAACGACAGGCAACCAAAGACGCCGACGAGGATCTACGCGAAGAACTCAACATGGAGCTCCCAGCCCTTCATGATTTGTTGTTCAACCGAAAGAAGGCGACAGATAGCACAATCACTAACGAAGCAGAATCTGCTGCTGCCGGCAAAGAGAGGATGGAACGTGATTACGACTTAAGACTCCGACAATTAGCACAAGACAGGAGAGCACAGCCGACAGATCGGACCAAAACTGACGAGGAAAAGGCTGAAGAAGAATCAAAGAAGCTTAGAGAGCTCGAAGAGAAGAGACTCAAGAGGATGCGTGGAGAAGAAGTTAGCGATGAGGAGGATGAGGAGGACGTCGATAATGACCAGTCAGACGGTCAACCAACAAACGGTCCAATTTTATTCACAGAAACAGAGGAAGATGACTTTGGGCTAGGGAAAGGGATAAGAACTCAGCCAACGGCGACGGAACTCGGATTCGATGATGAAGACGACTTCATAATCGAAGAGAACTTAATAGCCAGTGACTCGGATCTAGAGCCCATCGAAAGCGATGCATCGTCCGACGAAGATTCGAACGCTGAGGAGGACGATGATGAATTTACGAAAGGGTTACTAAACGACGAAGAAACACAAAACCCGGTGTTTAGCGGTCAACTTACGGGCTCTGCAGTACCAACTGACGCCAAACAAGATTCAAATGGATTACCTTACACTTTTCCCTGCCCACAGACCCTGAAAGAGTTTATCGACTTAACACGAGGGATCTCTATACAACATTTACCAACAGTCGTGCAAAGAATTAGGGCGTTGTATCACCCAAAATTGGACAGTGGAAATAAACCAAAACTTGCCAACTTTGTGGCGATCCTCGTTCAGTATTTGGCATATTCATCCAACCAGGCGAAGCTGCCGCCATTTTCTATACTTGAAAGCCTTATCCGACACATCCACTCTCTCACAAAGTCTTTTCCAATTGAGTCGGCAAATGAGTTTCGCTCACAGCTCGAAAGCTTTGGCCACTCACGACCGCTTACCCCGAATCTTGGTGATTTGGTGATTCTAACTGCGATTGGAACCACCTTTCCTACATCGGATCACTTCCATCAAGTGGCGACTCCAGCTGGGCTGCTTATCGCACGAAATCTTGAGAGAGTTCCGAAACAAATTACAGATTATGTTCAAGGAGTATATCTATCCACCTTAGCTCTTCAGTATCAGCGGGTTTCAAAACGCTATGTGCCTGAGGCGATGAACTTCTGTCTCAATACGCTATGTGCTTTAGCACCGGAGAAAGCTGAAGGGACTTTAGGACAATTCCCAGTTCATGAGCCCATGTTAGGGATTCGAATCACCGGTGCCCAGTCTCTCGCAGTAAGGAAGCTAACCCCCGCGGACTGTATTAAAGATGATGTCTCCGATGAGGAGGCCCTCTCAACCAAACTTGCAATACTTACTACCACTCTCGGTCTATTAGACGCGGCGGCAGATCTTTACAGTGGAAAGTCTGCTTTCTTCGAAACGTTTGAGCCGGCCAAGAATGTTCTCGCTCATCTAGGTAGCAAGTCATGCAAAACCAAGTTTCCAGCTGCTCTAAATGACCAGATTGAGAAACTCCAATCCAAACTAGATAAGATGCTCAGGTTAGCTCATATGGCGCGACGGCCCTTAGAGCTCCATCACCATCGACCCCTTCCCATCAAATCAGCCATTCCCAAATTCGAAGACTCGTTCGATCCCAACAAGCACTACGACCCCGATCGCGACAGGGCCGAGCTGTCCAAGCTAAAGGCCGAACACAAGAAGGAGCGCAAGGGTGCCATGAGAGAGCTGCGGAAGGACGCCAACTTCATGGCTCGCGAACAGCTCAGGGTCAAGAAGGCCAAGGATGCTGCGTACGAGAAGAAGTACAAGAGGCTAGTGGCGGAGATCCAAGGCGAGGAAGGCAGGGAGGCCAACGCGTACGAGAGGGAGAAGCAGATGCGGAAACGCGCAGCGAAAGCGAAGAGATAGGGTGGCGGTTAGTGATATGGGTTAGGGGTATATTATTAATAGCACTTACATTGAATGTTAAATTTAAGTGTTTACAATTCTGTTGGTTTACGAACGAATTGTTCAGTAATCAAAAAATAACCCACGGGCCAAAATATTAGGCGTTGGAGTTATTCTCGAAGCTTACGAGCCACAGTCCCCAATGAAACCTCGTATTACGCGAATCCTTCGCGTATCTCAAAAGCTGGGAGTAGATATGCCAAGGCTCGCATAGATTTCAAGCACGTCAGCCATCTTGTCGGATGTTGAGTGTGCATGTATACATATTTAACGATCCGTTCTCCTTTCCGTACACGACTAGAAGGGGATGGTAAATAGCTTGTTCGAGATCCTTTCGGCGGATCCACTTGGTTGCCGCTTATGAGTGATGGGAATTACTATGTTGGGTATTTTGTGGTAGGAGGTATATTGCGGCTCTTGGTTATTATGGGGTATTGGGTCTGTTCTATATTAACTACCTCTTACATACATAGGTACATACCTAGGTTGGTTGGAGGAGCGTATGTAAAAGGGTTTAGCTTTCGATATTACGGCGAGTGCTTAGGTTAGGTATAATGTTTTGAGAAGTCTATAGGCGGAGTTGCGTATTTTTATTTACTAGTTGTCGCAGTGAAGTTGTACGTTTACTGTATGATTATTTTAACTAGGAGTATGTCAAATCCTCCGAATCCACGTATGCGAATTTAAGAGGTGAAAAAACGTGACGCGACTCATCGCTGATAGTTATGGTAGTTAAGGCTTCGTCTAACGAACTGTCATGGCTTTAAACTGTTTAATTTCGATTTTTTTTTTCAATCTCTTATTTCTATACTATTCTACTAGCTTAGATGGATGGTTTACTAGGCATGATAGAGTCGTACATCTATTCGTTTAACGTCTATAAAATTTTGATAGATTCGTAATTGCGTATAATGGGGCTGCCCCCTATGCCCTCAGAGGCGGTATTTATATCATATCTTTTCAAAGTACATCTCCCTTTATGGTATATATTGATAGATTTCTCAGAATCCTTTAGTGTTTCTCCGTGATATCAAGGCTCCGCCTCGATTTTAATGTGATGGTCTGCTTGATTTTCGAGAGGATCCGTGAGGCTACATGTCGCTCTCGGTGTTTCGTTTTGATCGGACCGGGCGATGTAGTTGGGTCATACAACATATTTTCGTCCTTGTCTTCGCTCTGATCCATCTCTCGTGCCTATGTAAAGTCATTGCCCCTCCCCTAGTACCCCAACGCCTGTGTCTAGTCATGACACACATCCAGAGTTGCCCCTCAAGTCTATTGGGATGTCACACGACCATGTGGTGACATCCCCGTATGGAGTGTACCTCTGCGAGGAAACAGCTCATTTGTTAATATAGCCTAAATATACGCCCAATCGTATCTGCACTATTTGGCTTTTTCGTTACATAAATATTCTCCCTAAGGGGTTGCTACCAAAGCGTGCCCGTCATTGAAGACGATTTGCTGGCCGTTTCTTTTCGGTGCTGTTTATTTATTTGGTGAAAAGCAAGTCGGTGTACGTGCGTATAAAGGTAAGCCGAGATCTGATATACTCGGCAGAGTCCCGGAAGGCGATATAGATCAGAAGGCTTGTTTAATCCGACAATGCTGGACATCTCGGTAGCACGACTTAGAAGGCCTTGGGTTTTTCATCGGCTACAATACTCGGGCCAGTGGTCCTAGTCCGCATGAAACGGATCTAGCGACGGCCACTTGGGATAGGTGATCCAGAGACTTGTCGCATGCTTTGGTATTTCCGAAAGTCAGTGTTCACGAATTGTGCTGGTTACCAAGTAAGTATATAGTCTCATCTCCACGAAGTTACAAAGGTAACACGGATTGCTTACCTGTTGATGGAGGCGTAGCTTGACAGGTTGGATACCTGAATTCCACATTTTGATGGCTTGACCTATTCTGTGCTAAGCTCCTTCTCTTCTGTATCATAGCCAAAATCTGCTGTTGTTGAATATGGCTATATCCTGCGAACCTCTCAAGTTCTACCAACACATCGTCTTCAAGAGAGGCGACCCATAATTGTCTTTGAGTTTCATCATTGCTATAATTCGGGTTAGATGAACTCGGAATGTTTCGGGGTTGTGCCAATTGGTTATGGCGGTGTTGCGGTGCGAAGTTGTTTGCAACGAGCAAAGGATCCAGTGGGATGGGAGGCAACGAAGGCGTCGAAGGTGCCGACGTGAGAGATTGTATAGTGAATTGAACCGGGTTTCCTAAAGAATTATCTCCAACTTCGGTGGGGATGAAAGAGTGCGCATATTCGTTACTGGTAGGAAACGTATTGTCTGGCTGATTGAATGAGTTCATCCAACCCTCATACGCGTCGTGGCCGTAGCTTGGGACTGATGAAGATATGGAGGGACTTGCAGCGGCCCATTGCGCTACGGCAGGCACCTGAAGTGCCCCTGGAACAGGGCTACCCGAGGCTTGTCTATCTTGAAAGGTCCACGAGCCGTTGTATCCATCTGTCTCATCGGATACCGAACTCATCGAATCTGTTTGAGAATCAGATTTCAGTATCTCGTCAAGTAGAGCTAACTTTTGCTTGCGCTTCTCTCCTGAGGCCTGGCGTCAGCGAGATGTTTTGCGACGAAGCTGGCGATGGTAACTTACGATATGCACGGGACGCGATTCTGTTCTGCTCTTTGCGCACGTCACTATTTCTCTTCTTGGGTTGTTTTGTTCGGGTAGATGAAGCGAGAGGAGTATTCGTGCTAGCCTTATCCATGGCGCCAGCGAGGTATAACCTGTATGTTAAACAAAGTCGATCTTTTGGGTTTGTAGTTCCGAGAATCTCGTTTTGATGTCTAAGCAAGGAAGTGCGGGAATGAAGAGAGTCATTATATAAAATGGAGTTAGGAGATAGATGCCTCGTTAGCTAGTGTAAGTAGACTGTAGACGTGGGATACGAACAGCCCTATCACGATTAATCTTTTTTGAGTCGGTACCAATGTAAGAGTAATGTACGGAATAATGTATATCGATTTCCTAAACCCGTCTTGATTCCACCGCTAAGTGGCTTCTCTCTTTGGGCCCTGGGGTAACCATGTACCTTTTCTTATGTATGTAGAGGTGAAAGCTTCGATGTGGACCGCTATCCAAAATTCGGAATTTATGAATACCAGACGTGACAGCATGACAAGCATACATACATGCCTAGATAGACTAGAACGCTACCAGCAATCTTGCTGTCATCTTGTTGGCCCGATGCGACTCCATCGCGCAACCCGATTGGCAAGAAACCAATGAGTATCATAGTATCATAGCGTAGTATCGTATGCTTCCATACATTGTCACATCGTTTCCTAGGCGAAATTTAGATGGCTCGACAACACGCGAGGCTGAAAATAGAACATACCCCGAGATCTTCAAGGGTCAGGGTCTACTACGAGCCCTATAATTGGTTACCCTTAGTCATCGTGTTACCAAGCATTGACTATTTGGTAGTTTCCAGGGTCCCCGCCAATAAAACATAAGCATACATTTTTTTCGAGAAGCTTGATTCGGTAACCATCGCTCACCTCAGCACCTACTTACATGTATGCATCAATCATGTACAACTCTAGTTTAATGATTAGTATGGTATGTCTCATGTGGTCAGGTTCTCCTTACAATGCTCACTACTATCAAGCGCAATATCGATCATCATGGCGTCCTGCCTTGTAAGGCTCCTAGTAATTCTACTGAAACTTCTTAGCTTGAACGGCAACGCTTTAGGGAACTCATATTCCTAATAGCTTCACGATAGCATTCATTACACACTTATTAGACTAGGTTAGTTATTGAGTATATATATGTAGATAGAAAGACCATACTAAAATTAGCATTCAACCTTAGCTACATATAGACAAGTGAATGACATTAACTAGGTACTTTTAGGTTAACTAACTAAGTCTTTACCGCCTTCAGTAGTTTAAAAGAGAAATTCTTCTAATTACCTAATATAGTTACTATTGTCACATGTGCATGTGATAATGGATTATACATTATCTAGTAAATATAGCGAGTGGCTAACCTAATGAAGCAAGTGTTTAAGTGTTGTTTTTGTCTAGTTATTGTTTAACGGACCAATCCTTGTGCAACGGGAGCTGAGGACGGGAATATAGTGTAAGTTCCAGGCGGAGGCGGTCAGGGTTTGCTGACCCACTTAAACCCGCCCGCACAAGCCCGCTAGGATTCATCAGCTCGCAGCCCTACTTGCCCTATTCTATTCCTGCCGTACGCCATCTATCACGACTACTAGGTTAGTGGCTAAGCTGTTCGAAATGACGACATACGCCGCATCTATTTGAATTCCAATTGCTTGTTTTACTCGAGCATCCCGGAAATCGAAATTTCAAAGAGAATGAGGAATACCTAGCTAAGACGATAATTGGAAGTACCAAGTCGAATTAGGTATTAGCTAAACTTCTTGCGGCGTCTCATTTAATACGTCTACGGTGTAATTATATACCTGCAGTAGGTAGCAGCAGCGGCTGTAGGGATTGTTCTTTTTACATACCTCCCCTGTTAGTGTGCGGAAACGCTAGCCTTTAATGCATACCTATGTAAGTCGACACTAGAAGTTATTTGATTGGATAAGAGTATACGAACGGAAAGCTTATGGGGGTTAACCCAGATGTAAAGAGAATCTGCTCCTGTCTGCCTGTCTGCTTAATGGAATATCGTGTACTCGAACAGGCATCGTGGGTTACCTCCACGTATAATCGATTCAGCTGACCTGGTTGCGGACCACGTAAGTTTATGTAGTAGGGCTAAGAGATAGACTTGATATCTTACCACATACATAAATATTTCCTGTTGCATTTCCACCAATGAAGCAAGTTGAACTGAATAAGCAGTACAAACTTACTCGGTATACGTCAGAGCCTTCTCGGTGTCTGACCTACCTTGTCAAACGTGCATAGGAGAATAGCGTATGTACCTAGTCATCCTAGTGAAAATAGACTAGGTAGGCCTATCACAAAGAGTAGTATATATGTATACTTAATATAGGTATATATATATATGTGAATGCTGGCTGCCAAGTTATTTCCCCTACCCTTTTCTGCGAAAGAGTCTACGTGTTACGGTTGAGTCTTATGATCTATAATTCGACAAACGAAAGGCCGCTAATTTTCTCAATAGCACGATTACATCGGACGGGAGAATTACAAAGGCGAGTGCTACAGCTACGGTGACAACACCGTCGTCTTACCTCTTCGAACCGTGACGAAGTCGAAGCGATAATTTTTGAGACACTACGTACGGATGGTAGCCCATGCGGGTGAAGAGAATTGCCTTACTTGAAGACCCAATCGATGTTGATTAGTACTCACTTAGGCTTCGGTGGATATATGTAGTGTACATATAGTCTATAGAGCCTAAGCTGCCTAATGGTGATAAGGCTACGGAAACCTAGATCATGCCTTGGAGAAGTCTGCCACAAAGATGCCGAGGTCGGTCTTGTGCTCTGTTCCGTGTTCCGCCCTTGTCAGCCTAAGTTCTGACATCACCTACATAGTAAGTAGGTAGGTATACTCGCTTAGATAGTCGTTAGATGGTCAAACGTCTTCGGGTTACAATACATAGCACAGCGCAATGACTATGTATTGAGCTTCTTCATAGAATGCCGTATCAATCCGGTTACCAAAACAAAGGCAGTGGAGTTTCACGTTTTACATAGCTTGGGGAGTTGAGGAATTCTAACTTGGAACTTGGAGAAACCAGCCTAGACCACTCTTAGTATATAGTGTACCTAAAATATGTACAGTAGCATTGAGTGCTACGGAATCCGTGTAACTCCCTCCACATTGCATGCAGCATAATCCAAATTGAATGCCGAAAAGAGAAAAGGGGTGGGTCCATGATGAGGTAGCTCAAAGTATATTTGAGGCTGAGTTATAGTAGATGTCACCTAATTTGCACAGGTAACTCCTCGCTCCAGCCTCAATACTACTTAGATGGTACTTTGAGCTGAAGCCACGATTCCATCTGATTCTACGAAGAAACGGTGGCGCGCTAAGGAAAAATCTCAGCCTCGAACTGCGCGAAAGTTGGGCGGTTGGGACTCGTGCAGAGGGGAGAGATGGAGATAAAAAGAATATCCTTTAAAGTCGCTTGCTAATCGGTACTCTGTTGTGAATTTTGTGGTCGCCTCCCAATCTTCCATCGTTGCGTCCCTTTTACTCTTCTGTTTCCATCCTCGTCCAGAAAGTACGTGACGTAGGCAGTGTATGTACCTAATTTCAAGTACCTAAAGCAGGTATTTTTGTTGGTTACAGCACATTAGGACATTACCTAGTAGGTACCTTACCTTAAGGACATTAGGTTAGGTACGGAAACAGAGCCTTCTCGAATCGGAGCGGCAGCCTACCTTCAGCAGGAACGCAGCCAGAACCTTCCAGCAACTCCGACCCAGGAACCTACATCCAGAGCAATCCACCAATCCACCAATCTTGTGCATCGCAAGTACACACCCTGACACCATAACCTGTCAATCCGTACCGAAGCAAACCCATACACGAAAACGTTCACCAATCTATCTATCAACCCATTTACTCCCGCTTCTTTTTTTCTTTTCGCCTCTCGTACTTTGTAAGTTCTCAAGTCCTTATCAACTTCGAATCACTTAGAACTTAGATATTTCTATCATATCTCACCTCTCACCCCTCCTCTATTTAAAAACTCGCAACCAACTGATCTGCGCATTTGTGGGGCGCTACCTGACTGTTTTTACCTCTTCACACCTTTACAAATACAAGACTCGCTTTTCAACCTTTGAATATTTCCACACTAAAGTACAAAATCGCACTTTGAACTAACATTAATTGATACTTGAGAGATCCTACCTAATTAGTACGGTTCACTGCTACTTGCGCATCTTCCCCTCAGGAATTATCCCGTCTGACCAACAATTCGGACGACAATATGGTCAAGGAGACAAAGCTCTACGATGCCCTTGGCGTAAGTCTTATTCTTCAATGCACAATATATAATTGACATTGAGAGAACATACACTGATCTCCTTTGTCTAGGTCTCGCCAACCGCAACAGAGGCAGAATTAAAGAAGGCATACAAGACAGGAGCTTTGAAATGGCACCCTGGTAAGTTTTAGTTAAGACGTACCAAACATCTTACGAATCTAGCATATTAATCCTAGCTTTTTAGATAAGAATGCCCACAACCCCGGAGCCGAGGAAAAGTTCAAGGAGATCTCACACGCCTACGAAATCCTATCCGACCCCCAGAAGCGTCAAGTCTACGATCAATATGGTGAAGCCGGCCTCGAGGGAGGTGCCGGAGGCGGCGGCATGGCTGCCGAGGATCTCTTCGCACAGTTCTTCGGCTCAGGCTCATTCGGCGGCGGTCTTGGCGGCATGTTCAGTGGGATGGGTGGCGGACCCCGTGGTCCGCCCAAGGCGCGCACTATCCACCACACCCACAAGGTATCCCTGGAAGACATTTACCGGGGTAAGATCTCTAAGCTAGCCTTACAACGGTCTGTCATTTGCCCCAAGTGTGAGGGTCGCGGTGGTAAGGAAGGTGCTGTTCGACGTTGCCCTGGCTGTGATGGTCACGGTATGAAGACTATGATGCGACAAATGGGTCCGATGATCCAACGCTTCCAAACCGTCTGTCCTGATTGTAACGGAGAGGGCGAGATTATTAAGGAGAAGGACCGCTGCAAGTCGTGCAATGGCAAGAAGACTATCGTCGATAGGAAAGTACTTCACGTTCACGTCGACCGTGGTGTTAGAAGCGGCACGAAAGTCGAGTTCAGGGGTGAAGGTGACCAAGCTCCTGGTGTCCAGGCTGGAGATGTCGTCTTTGAGATTGAACAGAAGCCACACCCGCGGTTCACCCGGAAAGAAGACGATCTACTCTACCGCGCCGAGATCGAGCTTGTCACAGCTCTAGCTGGTGGTACGATCTACATTGAACATCTGGACGAGAGATGGCTGAGTGTTGAGATCCAACCCGGCGAGGCTATCGCACCAGGTATATACATCTTTGATATTATTTACTTTTTTACTTTACCCGAACTTGGTGCTAATCACTCTTTGCAGATGCTGTCAAGATGTTAAGAGGACAGGGTATGCCTTCTCACAGGCATCACGATTATGGCAACATGTACATACAGTTTTCTGTTAAGTTCCCCGAACGTAACTGGACAGATGACCCTGCCGCCTTCGAGGGTCTGCGTAAGATTCTTCCCGCTCCATCTCTCCAGAACATTCCTCCTGCGGATGCTATGACGGATAGCGTAGAACTAGAGGATTTAGACAACCAAGGACAGGCCCGAGCATTTGGTGGCGGCGCAGGAGGCATGGACGAAGAGGATGAAGACGGTCACCCTCACGCTGAACGCGTGCAATGCGCATCCCAATAGACGATATATCTAATGGGGAAGATTATTGGTTCGGCTGTGGGTAAAGTACCGCACAGTATTTCGTGCCTCGCATAATTTGCCTATACTCCTACACTATCAGCGATTTTCTTCCGGTTGAGTTGGTAGAGAGGAAGAGCTTATTTACGGCGTAGCGTTTCTGTGGCTTAAGGACACGAATGATTTGCATGTCAGGGGCGAGCGGGGAAGAAGAGGAGTCTGCTATACGGATGATATGAACAAGGGTCCGCTATTCTGGTAGGAGGGCAAGGTTCACTTTTTTCTCTGCAGCTCTTTTTTTATCATCGATTACACCGAGCGTCATCCCGCACGTGAGGCTCTTGCGAATTTGGCGTTCGACGGACATAGAGAGAGGAATCAGGACAGACGCGCTTTATACATGATTGCGATATTGGCATTGATTGCATTGAAAACGATTATATCCCAACTACGTTGCCGTATCGACGTTTGTGACCCTTGCTAACGTGCCTTACTGAATTATGTGATATGACTTGTTACGACTTAACCGTTGTATTATTTCCCACTTCCCTGGGTTAGAGAAGTCGTAAATATTTAACGTACATACAGGTCCAGTAGAATCAGGGTGCAACGGAGCTTCCTTCAACATCATCCGTAAACTCGGTCTTCCGCAAGTGTTCGACCGTATACAGAATAGTCTCCAACTCCTTCCGCGAAACGTCGAGATTTCCCTCGGCGGTATCCCGAATTCCCTCCTTCTGGGCCCAGTTTCCCGTCTCGTCTCGCTCGAAGAGCAGGAGAGATTGGGTTGGTTCTGTCATGGGGGTGTCTTCCTCTGCTTGTGTCGTGCTGCTGTTAGTAGTGGGCTGCTGGGGATCAATCGCGACGACTAATTTGGGGGAGTTTTCTGGTCTGGTGATGACGAGAGCGTTTAGGGGGTTGTCTTGTAAACGTAGCGTCTGTACGTGTTGGAGAGTATTCTCTGGTAGGACTTCGAATATGAAGATTACCGGGACGCTGTTTGTAGGTATGTGTTAGATTCCGTGGATGATAAAATAATAGGTAGGGGACGGGGGGGGGGAAGGGCGTTACCGTTCGCAAATTGCTAACAGGAAGCATCGCTCGTCTACATCGTACGAAAGTAACTGCGACACGGCGACTTGCTCCGCGCTAGGCGCTATCTCCTTAACGTGGCGGAGGAGGTCCGTCCTGCCGAGGAGGTGGGCGGCCTTCCAGTCCCACACGAACAGCTCGTCGTCCCCGCCGCCGGAGACCAGGAGTTCCGGGCGAGAGGCGGGTATGCAGAGGGCGTTGACGAAAGCCTCGTGGCCGAGGCAGTAATTCTCGACGATGTGCGCCTGCGGGATGCCGCGCGAGACGCGGATGTGCTCGTCGCGGTCGGCGGTGATGATGTACGGCTTGCCGTCTGCGGTTGCTAGAGCCAAGGCCGTTAGCATCGAGACGTGGCCTAGAATCGGCTCGTACTTGGGCGCTGGGGCGGCGTCTTTGGCGGGCTCGCCTCTGCGGCTGGCGAGGATGCGCTCTTGTTCTTCTAGGGCGCGCAGGTTGCGCTGGGAGTGCACGGTTAGCCGGTTAGCTGCGGGTTTGAAAGACGGAGCCGGGACGGGGCCGGGCACGGGCACGGGCACGCTCGAGGGCGTGGTGGGGGTGCTGGTTGCCTCGGGAGGTGCGGCGGTTGGGATGAGAGGTAGTGAGTAGACGTCCCCGAATTTGTCTGCGGACAGGATTGTAGTCCCGTCCGGGGTGATGGCGATGGAGCTGGGACGTTTGGGCATGACCCTGTATCTAGTGAGACTCGTCTTCTAATAGCATAAATTAGATAGGGTTGGGTTATCCTACCTTTGGCTTATTTCATTTAAAACGCCCTTCCCGCCGTGTTCGAGTACCCAAAGCGTCTTATCTTGGCCAGTCACGGCGACGAGATACCTCCCATCGTCCGTTGCTGTCATGAGAACCACAAAGGGTATTTCCGGCCCCTGAACACGAGATTCGGGCTTGTGTTTCTTTTTCCCGTCGCCATTTGCTGCCGCTTCTTCCACTGCACCCGTGTCAGCTTGACTAGTACCCTCCTCAGCAGCGCCGGGCTTCTTTTCTTCATTTAGCTTGCGCTTTTTCGATGGGCGCTGACCACTTTCTTGCTGCTCATTGAGTTCTCGGCCTTCCTGACTACCCGTCTCCTGAGGTTCGCTACTGCTGCCGACCTGCTTTGCGAGCGGATGAGTCCACGAAGAGAGAAATGAGTTGCCGGCATCGAGGTCAAATGTGTGGATGCTGGCTCCCTTGGCAGCGCAGAGGATGGAGCTTTGTCCAAGTCTGCTCAGATATTGGTACGGCAGATTCATGGTGTTGTGAGTTGATGCTATCCAGGTACTGATACTATATGCTCACAACAAAGTCTTTTCCAGGTTCTATCTGTTGAAAATTTCACCAATTGTTCTTTAAATTAGCTTCTAAGCAGACTTGTTTAAATTGGAAGTTAGTTTGCAGTTTTCACTCACTGTAGATTTGAGCTTCAAGATGTTTAAGTTGAAAATTCCGGTATATACGGTTTATTGCACAATAAAAATAAAGCTCTAAATCCGGCGGGTATTATGCATTTATACAGATAGTTGCTATCAGATGTACGGATTGGCTCGTGTCCCGTACCTTAGGTACCTAACGTAACCCTTCCATGATTGGCGTTTCAGCCTCTATTTGTGGCGCAGCTTATGCAGTTTATGCTACTTACATAGCGTCGCGCAAGTTCCGGAGTGGGTACCACTTTACGTACCATCTTATCCGTTTCGTTTCGTTGTCTTACACACTGGCAACTCACGATAGCTCTGAAGACAGTTCGACATTAATTCCATATTTTACAATCTACTTATAGGAGAGGTTATTGACAACCGTAGTTGGCCGGGGTGGCCTCTGTTATCCTACTATCTTCTCATTTCTATTATTAGCCTCGTTAGGTTAGGAATTCCGACGGACCTGTCCCACGGACATTGACGAGCTCTTGAACGCAATACATTTCCATTCTTGCCCACCATGGCGCAGCTTCTCCTTGACTTCGTATACTCGTTCGGCAATTGTTTAAATTGCTTTCCCGGATCTCCAACCCTCAAGATTAATAGTCGTTCGTTTAAGATATTACGCTTGCTGGGAGAAGGTGGTTTTAGCTATGTGTATCTTGTACAAGACACAGCAACTGCGGAACTCTTCGCGCTCAAGAAGATCCGATGTCCATTCGGTGCCGAATCGGTCCAGCAAGCGATGCGAGAAGTCGAAGCCTACAAGACATTCGCCCATACGCCCAATATCATCCACAGCGTCGACTATTCTATCGCAAGCGAACGAAACGATGCAGACGCAAAGACGGTATACGTATTACTGCCGTATTATAAACGAGGCAACTTACAAGACATTATCAATGCGAACTTAGTAAATCATACCAAATTTCCCGAACATGAACTCATGCGCCTCTTCCTGGGCATATGCAAGGCCCTCAAGTACATGCATCAATATCGGGGGCCAGCAGGTGGGGAGCGCATGGAGGCTGGCAATGCAAAAGCTGGCGAAGAAGATGGAGGGGGCCGAAGTGGTAGGGGAAGACGAAATAAGGCTGTTGCGGCAGCAGATGCGGACGATGAGACGGAACAGGCAAGGCCTTTAATGGTAAACGAAGAAGTCGTAGCGCCTGGTGAGCGGAGATCTTATGCGCACAGAGATATCAAGCCAGGTGAAGCGCACTGAAGTTAGTTAAACTTTGCACTGAAATTTATACTAACTGGGTATTGAAGGTAACATCATGATTGATGACTCGGGCTCACAACCTATTATTATGGATCTGGGCTCCATCTCAGAATCACCAATACCCATCACATCGCGATCGCTCGCTATTGCTCAACAGGACATAGCAGCGGAGCATAGTACGATGCCTTATAGGGCACCTGAACTATTCGATGTGAAGACAGGGACGGTCATTGACACTAAGGTTGATATCTGGTCACTAGGCTGTACTTTGTATGCGTGTTTAGTTGGCAAATCGCCTTTTGAGATGCGTAGCGATGAGACAGGTGGTAGTCTTAGCATGTGCGTGCTAGGAGGAGATTGGCGATTCCCGGATGAGAGCCCAAGAGGCCAGAAGAAAGGAAAGGCCCCGGCTGGTGCAGGCCCCGTGGAGGGCGCGATTAGCGAACCGATCAAAGAGGTAGTCAGGAAATGCCTGAAGGTTGAGCCGAGCGAACGGCCGGATATCGAGGAGTTAATAGGTATAGTGGAAGAGGTTATTGACGAGCTACCTGAAGACGACGCATAGACGATGAGGTTTGGGAAGAGCTATTTTTGTTTGTGCATATTGTATACTATAACCTTCTATATCGGATGACTAGGGACAGGTCATGGCTTTTGAGGCACCCATGACGCTGACGGCACTGCTCTGAGAGCGAATAGGTTACGCGGGTATACCCTCGACTTTACAACTTTTGCTTGGCTGGATATTGGAGGTTAAGGGCTAGTTGATCTTTAGCCCCCGAGCTTATGAGAGACTTAAAGGAATTTTATGGCGTCTGTTGCATTGATGTTCTTGGAGCTTCGAGCTAACTTAGTATTTCTAAGTGCGACCTCCTAATGAAAAGGAGTAACTTTAAAGATGAAGGCAAGTCATAGCAAAGGTCTTAGCGCTTTTGCTTTGGATATAAATTCTGGGTGATGGGATCGCTCTGTATCGATCATGAGCTTTTCCCATGATACCAACCTTTTCTGATCGGATGCCTGACTTATATTACGCTTAACGAGATGGAGCCGATAACTAAATGCACCTGCGTACTCCGTACCGCAACCACGCCCGGACTTGGATTCGAGATTTTCACACCGGAATTCCTCGGCACGTTCGCGGTAGTCTTCCCCTTAGCGGCATACCCGTTCATGTTCTCAGATCGGGACCGAACCTGCCAACACGTCCTTGGCTTGGCGGCCATGTTCTCCTTGATCGTCCAAATAGTCAATAGCTATGCCTGGGCTGCGGGTTACGAGTATACCGAATTCTCGCCCTGGCTGCCCCCCTTGAGGATATTCTCCGCGTTCCTCAGCCTCTGGGACGCGCACGGACATGAGTCGGATGTCAACTGGCGGCCGGTGCCTTTTGTCGACCCCGAGGCCAAATATGTCGTACTGACATTCTACATGTTCATATTTCACATCTTTACACACATCTTTACACACATCCTTTCTCACATCGAAGAAGAACCGTCAACCTCGATACACGACGCATTCCATCTCGTGGCCTCGGTCTTTGTCCTTTTCAGGTTTGCTTGTGCCATCTATGAAGACTTCATGAAGATCACGGCCACGATATACCATCGCCTCGCAACACGGCGCGTTCCCGGCTGGTTTTGGATCCATGCCGACGAGCCCGGTTTGTTCAGGCCTAGATGGAGCGTCGTACTTACGGTGGTTGTGGGTATATCCGCGCCGGTGCTGGCGTTTTTATGGGCGTATAGCATGGGATATATCGTGACAATAAGCCAGAATTCTAGCTTCTCTACTGGGTTTGCGCCCGATACCAACTCGTGGCATTGTTCTTGTACGTGGAGTCACCTCCGTGGGGATGGCGAAAATGTCCTATAGTGTAGGAGGGAAAAGATAGGTAGACTTGAGTTGCTAGTCGAAGGAATATATGTATCTTATAAAAATGATACCTGGGTACTTGGGTCATATACCTGTGGTAGTTATGTGGCGGTGGTGGCTTGTATGTATGTATCCGTACATATATGTCTTTAAAGTTGCCTAGCAACCTCTTAATTCACTGGTTGACGTCATCTTCCCATTAAACTACGTAAGGTACCACTTACCAAGTGACGATACCTCATAGGTAGACAAGTAAAAACCGGCTCCGCTTTTAAGTTCGATCTACTCTCGACTATCTCCATGCATTCGGGAACTCTATTCTTATCTAAACACGCATTCGGTTACTTCTAGAATGGTTCGGTACATGTGCTTTGTACCTCACAACTTACAAGTCTTCTACTAAAAACAGCTGGCCTCCACTTACATAAAAATAAATTGTTAAAATGGCATCATCAAACGATAATGCCTCGGGGGTAGGGGATGAAGATGATGACTACATGAACATGACCTTCGGCGAGGAAGAGCCGAAAACCACAGAAACATCTCTCCAGCGGAGACAACGGCTCAAGCGCGAGGGTGAGATCAAGGGGCGCGTCAAGTCGAAAGCCGAGCAGGCCGCAGCAGAACGCGAGGAGCGTGAGAAGGCGTTAAACGAGTCATTACTAGACAACGCCCGAGCTAAGAAGAGCAAGGGCTTTGCCATGATGGCGAGAATGGGATTCAAGCCTGGCGTCGCACTCGGCAGCGCCGACAGCGCCGAACACGCGCGTCTAGAGCCCATACGCCCGCAGATGAAGGAAGACCGGGGCGGTATCGGCCTCGACTCAGATCGCAAGCGTGCGCTTAACGAAGCGGCGGCCCAGAGCGAGAAGAGGCAGAAAGTCGACGAGACAGAGTTCCGAGACCGCGTGCGTAGGGAGCGCGAGCAGGCGAGGCTAGAGCGGCAAGTTTATGCTGCGATGAAGGTGTGCGAGCGCATGGACGAGGAAGAGCAAGGAGGCACGAAGGCGGGCGGCGAAGAGGCGGAGGAGGAGACAAGGGGGGCAAAGACGCAAAAGAAGAAGAAGAGGACAATATCTACGCGACCCCTAAAGTCTATCCCGGTAGTATGGCGCGGTCTAATCCGGAATCGGGAGGAAGCAGAGCGGGACCGGCGAATGCGGCACGACTTGGAGCAGAGCTCAACGCGGCTCCCGACGTTCGTGGAAGATCTAGAAGATGACGATAAGACGGCGTTAGGAAAGACGGCTACGGCGTACGTCCAGGTCGAGGATCTCGAGGAGGAAGATCCGGAGCTGGATGAGTTTAACGCGCTCGAGGTTGAGGAGAGGTTGAAGAGGCTGGTGGTGTACCTCAGGAAGCAGTATAATTACTGCTTCTGGTGTAAATGCGGTTATCCGGACGAGACGATGGAGGGGTGTCCTGGGCTGACGGAGGAGGATCATGACTGAGGATGCTGTTTTACCGCCTGGCTTCGGATTATTCGATGCTTGGCCAGATTGTTGCCTAAGTCGCAGTCGAGCTTACAACGTGGGCCTATTTAAGGCGTCAGGGGAAATCATATACAGAGTGAGGGCACTGGGATCTAAGGCTGACGACTCCTTAGGCCGGGACAATCGATGTCCGAAGTGAGTTTCTATCTATGATAACCACGGACTGCTTCGTCTAATAAATTTAGAACTCATAATATTGAATAGGTAGTTAGTACTTCTACAACAACGTGGCTATATATTAGCGCATGCCATCGTAAGACCACGACCCAGAAGGCGTGTACTTCTACACGAGGTATAACGCTACTACTAAGTCAACGGCTACCTACTCCATACCAAGGCCGGGAGAATTTATCAGATGTGGATCGTTCGAAAAAATGGGTTTTGTATTATGGGTAACTAACTCATCAATCATACTTGGAAACAGAAACGGGACGTCCTAAAGTAGTGAGTCTTTTCTTAAACCATGACCGGCACAACTTTCTCCCTAAAGCCGTATCATATCACGTAGTTACGTGTATATCTAAGACATGTATTGACAACCGAGGTCCTTAGCTACCTAGCTATCAGACCCATCTCCTCCGTGTAATTTCCCCCGTCGGTGTAGCGGCCATCTCGGACAATCTAATACAGACAAGTCCAACCCCTACCCCTATAGCCTCTATGTCTCCGGACGCTCCGTAACGCCCTCCCGGGAATAAACCCTTTCCTCAACACCGATGTCCTCGTTCCTTTGTCGCATAATACACATTAGTTCTGTAGGCTCCCATATACTATACCATTTTTATTACCTGTGTACACGTATATACGTGCATAAACGAAAAAGGGGGCAGGAGATGGATGGATAGATGGGTGACTTTACCAAACTTCCGGCTTCTCCTTAATAAACCTCTCCATCAACCCCCTGCACTCGGACGAGTCTAGCACAACGACCTCGACGCCGCGGCTCTTGAGATACGCCTCGCCGCCCAGGAACGTCCTGTTCTCGCCGATGACCACGCGCGAGATGCCGTAGAGGATGCACGCGCCGGTGCCTATGATCCCAACCAATCCGTTCTTAGCGGCAAGTTGCTTATAATTATATAATTGCATAAAAAAAAGGGTCAGATAGTTTAAATAAACCAGACTTACACATATCGCACGGCGAAAGCGTCGTGTACATCGTGCTCCCCTTATACGCAGAAGACGGCAGACGGCCTGCGTTCTGGAGACAGGATGTCTCGCCCTAGAAAAAAGAAATACACATAAACCCCGTTAGTTAATAGTAAATATAACTACAAGTAAAGGTATAGGTATCAACAGTAAATAACAAGCACCAAGCATAGCAAAAAAAGAAACATAAACATAAGTATACGTACGTGAAGAATCGGATTCCCATTCTGAACTCTCATATTATGTCCCCGGCCCAAGACTCTGCCATCAGCGCCAACCAGCGCCGCACCGATCTGTAACACCTCACAACAACAATGTCCAAAGTAAGCAAAAGTAAAGTATTCGCCGTCGAGCAAAAGTATATATATATATATCACGCCCCTACGTACCGGAACGCCACCTTCTCGGTATCCGATCCTGGCTTCTTCGAGAGCCAAGGCAAGGCCCTTTGCGTCGTCCATTTTTTAACTTGGCTAGGTATATTCTGTCCAGGTGTCCGTTATAGTGTTATAATAATAGACTAAGGACTAGAGGTGGGAATACTAGAATAACTTATAGAAATAGGGGTTAATGTTTTTTTTTTATCGTTTTTATTATTAGATATATCAGTTAGAAGCAGTAAGCTTGATATACGTAGGTAATTGGAGATAAGCGGCAGTCTCCGCATCACGACTATCATTGTGCATCTAACCCGCTAACCTAGTAGAGCGACATAAGAGTTTAGTGCCCGCCTTTTAGCTATCACAGTCCTCAAATATCGAATTCTTAGCATAATGCAGCAGCATACACGTACAATGACATTGACAATACATTCACATCGCAAACTAACAAAATTAGAACTTAGACGTCTTTGCATCTTTAAATTAAGTTTGTACGATGTTGGCCTGCGAGACCATTTCCTGACCTTTTGGATCACCCGCCTCTAATGCCTAGGCCGCCTTCCTCCATTTTACACTCGGAAAAGTATTAGACAACTAATAGTCCGACCATCGAAAAACAAATCACTGTTGTACAGGCCCTGGCGCCTTTGGTATATGCCTCTACTTATACAACCGACCCTAAGTTAACGCCGAACTGGAGGAAAGAAATCCCCTATGCGAATAAATCATAAACCCCGAAACCTTGGTCTAGTCATTTCTGACTATCACGACAGAAGGTTGCGTAGCGACGCGTTGGCGCTGGCCCCGCTTGCTGGGCGACTGTCGTTGGGCCTTGGAGGTATATTATTGCTTAAGCTTGGTTCACGGCTCATCGAGATCCCATCCCGGGAAATCGGAGGGCTCCCATGAGGATTTAAAAATGGTGAACGTGATCCAAGCATGCCTTGGGAAAACGAATGCTCCGAAGTGCGAGGCGGAGGACTGCCATTCGTGAGGCCGTGGAGCGAGTTATGGGCCGAATGGTAGGATGGCATATAAGGAGAAGCGCCGTTCTGAACAGAACTAGGACCGCGTCGAGGTGGAGGTGGAGAGGGAGGAATTCCATTTACCATAGGTTGGCCATGGCTGAGTCCATGCTGAAGTTGTGGTCCTTGGTGATGGGACATTGGGGCTATCGGCGGCGGCCGGAGATCGCGGAGATGATTATGATGGATCGGGCTTGGTCCACTAGAGCCGCCATTTATCTGATGAAGGGTAGGTGGATGTTGAGGCGGGCTACGATGCCACTCTCCATAAGGAGCACTGGGAGGAGGATAATGGTGTGCAGGCACTGGTGGGCCACCCGGAGTTATCATCGGGCTCGTTCCAGCATGGGGAGATGTCAGCGGCAAAGGTGGAGGGACAGCTGCAGGGGGAGGATGTAACGGTGGCGCAGCGATCGCCGGGGCAACCGTAGTTACTTGCGTTGTAGGACCTCGTGGTCCCCACGAATTCCCTAGGTCCACAAGCCTATTCATAGCGTGGGATACGTGTGGTGGATGATTTGTTGTTGTTACAGTAGTAGGAATTGAAGGAGGCAGAGCGGCTACCCGTGGTGGTTCAGTTGCTATTGGCCCCTCCGTTCTTGGCGGATTATGAGGTGTAAGTTTTCGATTACTCCTCTTACACTTATGACACTGGACGCTCCGCTGAGCTACAAATCTCAGCGCCTCAGTGCTGAGAGAGCCGGTATATCCATTTGTTAAGACCTTTTCTTGGCTCTTGTCGATGGGCCACCACTTTGGGCTCACGTCAATGCCGCAAGTTATGCAGACTTTATCGCCGCACTGAGGGCTGATGGACGCTGCATCCGCCACACTATCGACCGGAGACGTTCTCTGACCTGTCGCTGCCGAGCTGGAAACGTTGGTGGTGGATTGCCTCCTATTTGAGTTCGTTTGCGTCGTGACAGTAAGTGTCTTGGTGGCGGCGAGATTAGCTAGGTTCGCCTTACGGACATTACCTGTTAGGGTAAGATCTGCCTGCTTGTAGTTATGCACGTAGAGCTGCAGGGCGTTTGCAAGTTGTGCATCCTTGCTTTGGCTCTCGGGCTGAGGTACAGGGTCGTGCATGCGATGGACCACACTCTTTTGAGGAATATGCTCCTTACACCAGACGGCTGCTGACATTATCCCCGTTTCTCCTCCGATAGTGACAAGATTATGCTGATCTCGTCTGGAGCCTTTCACCGGCGTAATCTCGAAGCCAAGCAGGTATCCATTTTGGTGGGCACATTCCACGTGGACTAATATCAATGCTGTCAGCACTAGACAAATTGGCCGGCCAAGGGATATTATACTTACCAGGAGCGCGGCATTGATGGCAGGCTACACACGCGCCACCTTTTTGCTTGCACACCTTGCAAACTTCGTCATATCTACTACGCGGTATCAATGGTATACCTTCTGACGGGCCTAGGGCAAGGGCATTGCCAAACTTGACTTCGGGCATCCACACCGCACAAGTGACATGGACCCAATTGTTGTCTGCTGTCCTCTTTAGAGGCTCCCTAGGGTTCACGGGCCGGTTCATCTCCTCCTGTTTTTTGCGATAATACTCTACAGCCTTTTGCGCAAGATCACGATCAAGGCGCTCTTTCTCTTTCTCCTTCTCCGTCTTTTTCTTGTGCGAGTTCTTTGGCGGTTCAATGAAGTCGTGTTCCGTGAATTCTACCGGGCACAGAACACACTTATAATCCTAATCGTAACCATTAGCCGCAAACCCCAAGAAATGAATAAGGGTACACTTACTATAGAAACCTGAGGATTCTTATCATTCAGGCACATATCACAGGTCCACTTGCCCGGAAGTCGATTGTCGATAACACCATAGCACTTTCGATGAACCGTGAGCCGACACTCCTTGCAAGAGAGATGAGCTTGCTCGCCTGTCGGGGCCATCTGGTGGCATATAGCGCAAGGCAGGGTGCGAGGTTTTGGTAGTTCTGGAGCTGGGGGTGGTGGCGCGGGCTTCTCTGCAGCCTTTTCTTTTTTCTTTGAATGAGTATGAGTATGAGTCGAGACAACGCCGGGATCCGAGCCATTTGCCTCTGCCTCCTTGTCCGCAATTGTCTTGAGTTTCTTGCGTGGTGGTGGTTCGCTACCGCTAGGTTGCGGGGCAGGTGTCGCTGTCGCAGCAGGCTGTGCTGTTGATGGCGTCCCATTAGTTTTGTTGTAGACCGTCAGGCTCATCATTTCGTTTGCCGCCATGATCTCCTTGAGCAATTCTTCATCAACCCTCCGCTTCCAGGAGCGGCCACCAGCTGCAGCAACCTTCTTGGCAAGGTCCTCCATGTCTTCCCACTGGATAGCATATCGCCGCCATAGCTCGGCACATCTCCTACATAATGCTCCGACGTACTGTATTCCCTTATCCTTGTTCGCGTGTTTACCGCCTCCCTCTATTACTAGACCGGACGCGCTGTTAGGCGCCCGCCGCCACTGTCGGGAGTTCTTGGTAGAACAAAACTTGCATATGAAGCTTCTCTTCAACTTGACGGCCTTTTCGGTGTCGAACGCTGAATCGTCCTGGTCGTCAGCAACGTCATCTTGGAGTTTATTGGCCGTTGCTTCAGCCTTCTTCGCCTCCTTTTTGCCCTTCCTGCCAGAGAAATTACCCCATATTTGTTTCCCTCTGTCTGTTTTCTTCCACGTATAGTAGAAACGGACAATTTGCGAATGCTTGACTGTTTTGACGAGTTTGGTAATGGGATAAAGTTCAGAACCAAACTTGGTTACGCCTTCTTCAAACTTCTTTAGCTCAGCAGTTGTAAGCTCGGGCTCCTTAAAAATCGACTTGTCAACTTTTAAT